CATATGTTAATGCACGTCACACTTTATCAACAAGCATTGATGAGATCGGTATATGTAAAAGATACTTAAATTACGATTTTCATAATTTTACGTGATTAACTATGTCATGTCTAAAACGCCCCGGTTGAATGATATTGTTAACTAGCTGGAAATAAACAACCGGTCACGTGTCAATCTGTTTGGCACTTACCGCCTTGCCAATCTACTTATTCAAAAGAAGTGTACGATACAAATTGTGCAATATTACGTAATTTTGGGGAAATAAGATTTTATCTTTAATAATTTGCTGTTTCATTTTAAATTACTGATGAAAACATCGTTTAATGATACCTTAAACAGAATCATTGAATATTACCGTATATCTGTTATAGATATCAATTCATATTTTCAGAACTTACTACTTTAAGTCATCCCAAAATTACTGTTTCTTGTGTGGCATAACTTGAAATCACGTCTATTACAGCCTTTGAGTATGATAAATTGTAGTCATATAGTATATCGATATCGGTATATCGTTTTTGCCCTACTCAGAATGCCCATGTGTGAAATGCAACACCCGTTACTATTGAAAAAAACTTACTTAAAAAGGTCTATAAATAAATATAAATATATTCACATCAGTTTATACCGGGAAGAATTCTGCGAAAATGTACTAAATAAGGTAATTCCCACATCAAATTTCACAAGACATGTAGTTCAGAATCAAGAATTGATATATTAACGCTTTTCTGTGTCAACTTAAAACTGTTATCATTTTTTTTAAAAACCATTATGACTTTATGCATCTATTTATGATGAACAAAAGTTGTTTTTGTTTGCATTACAGTTAATTGAAGCCAAAAAGACTGGTCAGGTAAATATAGTTGATGTACTGGATGAGCTTTCAAATGAGACATCAGACACGGACGAGAATAGTACACTTTTGATTGGAGATATAAACGTCGCTGTTAATACACTTGAGCAAATAGCTGATGTGGTAACAGTCAACACAACAAACATTGAAAATGTTACAGATGTAAGTACATTTTATCACGCAAAGACATTATTAATGACTGAAAATTTCATCACCATGGTTGTTTTTAATTTTCTGCCATATCATTCCGTGCTTTTTCATTGAGCAGTGCAACTGCACCTAACATGTCAGAGAATTGTAACGGGGTGCTTATGGTAAACTCTGTTTAGAAACTGTACAAAGTGTTGTTATAATTAAACATTCCAATACTGATGATACCGTAAATCAACTTTTTAGCTTTTTTGGTGAAATAAGACCTACATATGCCTCAATACGGTTAGTTTGATTCGTGTGAGAGCATCTCGATGCAGATACGGACCTTTTGCATATGTATTTAATCAAGTCTCAGATTGGATAACAATCCAAATGAGAGTCCGGGATAACAATCCGAAAGGAACAAGTAATTAAAATAAGAAGTCAAGGACCAATTGTTCACGGCATACAAATATACATGTATTGTGTTTCTCCCAGCTTAATTTAACATCTACTAAACAAATGACTTTGACTTAGAAAATATATAAATGTTTTACACTCCACTTTAATGGAATTAGTTCTCTGACGCAATGCTCCAAACTGAGCTTTATTCATTGCGCGTTAACCGAAATAACTCTAAGAACTGTATTTGTTCCTTTTCTTTTTCTTATATATCTGTCACCAGCGTGTATAGACCCGCTTGCCAGCCGGAAATTCTGAAATTCCGGTCCTGTATAGTTAGGAATATTATACATGTAATATTTGACATGAATATAAATCTAGATAGTACTAGTGGAAATCTGATAGTTTTGTATAGATTTGCAGATGAAATGTCATAATTTATTTCAGTCATATATACAAACAATCAACAATATTCTGGATGAAAGTACAGCACAGACATGGAAGGTGAACATAAATCAGGTAATTAATATACGACTTCTCATTTCATGGCAATAAATTTGTATAATAGATTATACGAATCTTACACTGGCTGCCGGTACAGACCGGAATATCTAGCTCGAGGGTAACTGTTTACGGCGGTAACGAGGCTGTGTCGAGTTTCCGCTTAAACTGTTACCCGAGAGCTAGATATTCCCGTCTGTACCGACAGCCGGTGTTTGATTCTTTTTCTTGCATATTACATACCAATTATTCTCAGAACAGAAATTACGCACTTTTTCTTTCAGTAGTGTATGAACTTACCACATCATTCATAACGGTTAAGTGACACCCTAAGAACGAAATTCATTCATAAAAGGCGCGCAGCAATGACGGTATTTAAAGCACGCGTCTTGTCTTACATGGGGGTGTAAGACAGGGTTTCCTAGCACCGGTGTAAACGGTAGATAATCCTGTCTGACATGCAAGAATTATCGTGTTTTAAATGTAGATATCAACATAAACTCGACAAATATGGGGTTTTGTGTATGCAGTTTTAGCTTCACGGTAATTTACAGTGATGAATGTATTGCTGTACCCGACTTAACTGAGTTTTCGTAAATAACTCTGCTCAAAGCAAGTAACATTTTGCTAATATGTTGTTTATCGAAGGTTCAAGTTTTTTTTTCCGGTGTCACGACCATTTTTCGTCATTCGACACCAGTACTGATTAGTTTCAGGCAGCGATTTAAATCAGCTTTCAACTTTCACCATTCAAGCTTAGATAAATAACTTTAATTAGGCATCATGGTATACATTATTTTTTCCAAGTTGCGGATAGTCTTCTTATCTTGTAATATCTTACACAAAAAGGATACGGGACAGACATTGTTCTGACCATGGTATGATTTATTTATATAGCTCCAGTCGCTATGTCATGTTTTATATAAACAGGTTCCTGGGCAGGCATTGTTCTCATCATGGTATGTTTTATTTAAACATCATCCAGGGCAGACATTATTACAAAACATGTATCGTGATAGACATTGTTCTGAACACGTTATGTTTTATTTAAACATTTCCTGGACAGATTTAAACATTTCCTGAACTGATAGCGTTTCCATCATGATATGTTTATCATAAACAAGTACTTGGTAAGACATTGATCTAATTATAGTATGTTTTATTTAGACAGGTTCCGTGGCAGACATTGTTTTGATTATGTTAATTTTTATTTGGAAGGTTCCAGGGCAGATATTAATATGTAGTTGGTTATGTTATTTTTTATTCAGTTTTATTCAGACAAATTATCGGCAGATATTCTTCTTATCATGTTATGTTTTATTTTATTTAGACAGGTTCCGGGGCAGACGTTGTTTTGAAGACAACAGATCGTTTTGTGGAGAAGATCTTGACAACATCCAAAAATTTCACTGCTGAGATATCAAAGTCAAATTTGTGTACGCTTCTGTTTTTAAAATTAAAAATAACTCATTTTCAAAGTAACTTCACTAGAATTATTGTGTAGAAATGATTTCCTGGTAACACTTACTTTTTTAATCGCTAGAATTAATGTTGCCGAGATATTCAACTTCCTCTGTTATAACTACTTATGTTATACCAAATGATAATACGTTTCATATTGATTAGTAAATCAATCGGATAATGATACAATTTATCATTTTATATCATGTTGCAGATTTAAAGATGGCGTCTGTACAATCATGTAACGAAGCTTTGAATTTCCCTGAACATGGAAACGAAGGTGTCTCAGAGTGGGCTAGATCAAGGAAGGACGGGCTCGTAATTGACTGTGACAGTATGTTACGCTTGATTACATGTATAAAAAATATGATTGTAAAATATCTATTGCAAACAGTAAATGTTTCGGCTGTTAAACATAATGATATTTAAGGTGTAGATTGTTTACAAGCAAAAGCGTTTATAAAGGTTGTAGGAGTAGAATAGATTCGCCAATTTTTACAACTTTTATGGAGCACCTTGATATCTTGAAACATTTGACATTTTTCAAGGTAATATGTGAATATAAAGATCATTTAAATAACGCCCATTTCCGCTATTTTCCTTCGATTTGACTATTTGCAACAAGACGCCTTGACAGGAAATATATCACACAGTCATATGTACTGTACATCCACATGACTTGACGTCGTATAAAGTTCGCTCTCAACACATGGAAGAAACTTCCAGATATAAAACAACTCTTTTTCAGCCGCCTTTCTTTTAATCATAATAACAATTATTTTTCTTATAACTTTATTTTTTTTCACTGACTCTACTATTTTTATTTGGTAAATATCAATACACTATATGATTCTTATATTTAATGATAAGTGCATTTAATGTTGCAATTCTGCAGGTACCGTTGAATCCTTTAGTGGAATTATGTACAGAAATTTATCACTGATAATATCATCATCAACTAACAACACTAAGTAAGTAAAAGGTTTTCTTTAAATGTCTCATCCTAGTATATTGATCAAACATTTACGTCATAATGCTTTTTTTGTCTATGTGATAAAACCGTACTGCTTTTTATCATTGTACTGAATTTGTTTTGTAAATATCTGTTTGAAATATGCATGTATTAAGTCATATTTTAAAATGCATATGCTTGATATCTTTAAGAAGTTCAATGGTTTTTTATTTTCACATCAGATCCGAAGATCTTCAGCTGAATGCTCCAGTAATATCATTTACATTCTATCCTAATAACATTACACGACAACTTGTCAGCCCAGTGGAAATTCAATTTCAGTTGTATAATGTAAGTCATTTTTATTCAAAATTGTTCAACACCATGCAATTTTATATAAATGGAAGGGCTTTGCAATACATGCATTCATTGAATACATGTAACATGTAACTAATATTTCTGAAACATAATTTACTTTGGCTCATTCTTCATAAAACTACCGGTATACCGCTATCATTAAGGGATCCAGATTTGTTTTTATCAAATATTTTAATATGATTGTAAGTTTGTCGTTGTGGTACCGATATGGTTCATTAACAACTTTAACATGCAATAGCTTAGAATAAATCACCAAAACGTTATATTTTTGTAATATTTTTCATAATATATGTATTTAAAAAAGTTTTTTCATAGGGTTTTGATGTAGATAAAAAAACTAGATAAATTTTCCTGAAACAAAATTGTTTCTTATATTCAGAATACATTGGATAATGCGAGATGTTCGTTTTGGAAGGAGTCAAAAAGGTAAAATATCATATTAATGCAAAGGAGCTAAAACTTCCGCCGATCAACATTTATCTTTTGGACTGTATTTCGTATGGTTGCGCGTCTTTCGATCAGCAGTTGAACATTTATTTCATAATTAATAATGTACAACAGATATTTATCTGATTAACAAGTGATATTTTTCCTTAAAATTAGAATGACGAATAATTACTTTACTTTTAAAAACATTGAGATAAGTACCTGCTATTAATTTATCTTATAAACAGTTACATGTAGTATTATATAATGTATAGTGTCCGGCCCATAACATGGTTATTTGAAGTCGGATTTTATAACTATTTCACAGAAATGATCACCATATTGAGACAATGTGTCGTGCGCAAATTTGGGTTGCTACCTTTAAGGTCAAGGTCACAGCATGACCTTGCAGCAAAATCGTGTCCGACCCATAACTTGGTTATAAGAGGTCGGAATTTAGAACTATTTCACAAAAATGATCACCATATTGAGACGACATGTCGCGTGCAACATTTGGGTCGCTGCATTGAAGGTCAAGGTAACAGCATGACCTTTCAGTAAAATTGTGTCTGGCCTATAACTTTGTTATGTGAAGTCGGATTTTACAACTTTTTCACAGAAATGATCACCATATTAAGACGCCAGGTCGTGCGCAGCATTTGGGTCGCTACCTTGTTTATACACTTTAAACTTTGTCTGTGGCATAACTCTGACACTACAAGAGGTATACCTTCCTGTGTCCAAAACCTATTCGGGGAGCATCGCCGGGTTCAACTGGCTCTTGTTTTACACGGTCAGATAGTCTGCCCAAATTCTTCATGTAAATGGAATCTTTTATTTGCGACGTGCACATGAGATACTAGTAGCTATAGCGTGGCCACACGGTGGCTGTTACGTACGCAGGCAAAAAAAAAAAAAAACTTGGCCACGCGATATGCTTTACGTGCACACTTATAAGTTATACCTGTCGCGTGGCTACTTAACAGTAACAGTTCAACTGCTGATTTTTTGTAATCCATTAATTGGCAAGTAAAATAATATTTCGACGAAATTCGACGTAACAAATGATATGCAATAATTGTTTCTTGTTTGTGAAGCGAAACGTCACAAGGTTACTGGTCTGATGAGGGATGTCGACTGAAAAAATATGACAAAGACGAAGAAGTTGTTGTGTGTGTTTGCGACCATCTTACTAATTTTGCTGTGCTTATGAGTCCATCCAAACACCAGGTATGTAGGTGTTATTATACTATACATTTTAGCATATATCATCGCTTGCATGAGTGCGAATTTATCATTTGTACTTACAAGTTTTTATATATGATTAAGTGACTTAGCTTGAAATAAGACGAAGAATCTGATAGTATATAATAATTGGGTTAAGTTCCACTTGTAACATCTTGTTTAAAGTGTATTCTGCACTTAAAGTATTATAAGTACAAAAAGAAGATATAAATTTCCAAAATAAAAAATATATATATTATTTGAAACATCTGTGAAAGACAAATAAAAAATTCAGTAATGATTTAGTCAATACTTGCATTTATTTAACAGTCGCCAAAGAAAGTAAATTAATTTTCAAGCCAAATGTCTTTTCAAATAAGCAACTGTTATATAGCGAGTTTGTAACTATTTAGGAACCCGATTTTGGCCACTAATGCGCAAAAACGACTTGTCTAGCTCTTCCGGTTTATCAAAAATGTTGTCAAATGACAACAGTAGTGTTGCTGTGCCTAAAAGTTCCACATAAAGATACAATGTACTTGTCAAGCATTTATACTTGATCAAGATGTGAATTCTTGAATTCTTATGAGGGAAATTTAGTACTTGACAATTACATGTATATCAAAGCTCTGATGAAACTTGTTTACACGTGTTTATGCAAATATGGTCTCTAGTAAAATAGTTATAACAACAATAAGTATTTCTTACACATATCATATCAACTACAAAAAATCTGACCTTTTGATTTCACATCCATAGTATAGATTGGCACACTCCAAACAATTCTAAAACAATTTTACAAAACACTTAACATAAGTGTTCTATACTTTCAGATTGAGGAAGGACATAAGGAGGCACTGTCAATCATTTCCATGATAGGATGTATAGTTTCCATGATATGTCTTGTACTGAATGTAGCTATACATGCATTCTTCTGGAGGTAAGAAATGATATATTATTAGAGAAAAAAGAATAATAAAAACAACGACTAAAACAAAAAAAAGAAGCAAGACGAATAAAACACAAATTAAACAATTACAAAAGTAAGGAGTAATAAGCCTTAGAAACAAAATATATTGCAATGAAAAACAACTAACTTAAATAAAACACCACGCACAAAGCAACAACACCAACACAGTATTAACAGCCGCAGGAGCAATAGCAGCTACAATAACAAAAACAACAAACATAAATCTAAACAAACATAAGCAAAAATGAAAAAAGAAACTTCTAAAAACCAGGAAAACAACAACACCAACACCAATAAAAACAACAAAGAAACACAAAAATATTTTCAGTCTTAATAATAAATTAAATAATAATAAAATAAAGCAACGGAACACACCTTTCCAACTACATTCTTGTATTGTACTTGTCCGGTTTAAATTTAGAACTATTTGTATACAGAGAGTTTCCATTATCTGGAACTTTGCATTTTCATATTTATATTAGTATTATGATATTTGAAGACAGTGATTCAAACAGAATAGAGCCTGTGAAGACTGCACGTATCTGCATACTAACGTGTGCAAATGCTAATTAATTTCGGTTCTTACAGTTTTAAAAAAGTGATCTTATATGTGTCCCTTTGTTAAAAAGGTGTTAAAAAAATTAAACAAACGTACTTAAAGATCTTTGTATTTGATTACCCTCTTAAAAGGTGCTTATACCATCGACAATAATTATTATTATACTAGCAGATTTGGAAACATATATAATTATTATAATACTAATAACAAATAATGATAATAATATTAATTAATAATATAGTAATTTCTTAGAAAAACTTCTGGCAAATAGGTGATCAATAAAACAATAACCCTCTGGCAGCGAAAGGGTTAATGCTTAAAAAGAAACAAGTTATCATGATGAACCATTTCGTAACTGTTATATTCATACACCTAGACCAGAATTGATGTTAAATAAATATTTGAACATATGTTTTCAGGTTTATTAAATCGGTGCGGTACATCATTCATATGAACTTATCCTGTTGGTTAATTGTTGCTTATATCCTGTTTCTTGCTGGGATAAACAGAACAGAAAACAAGGTAATGTCATACACTGGGTAGATTTAGTGCTTTCCGGTAGATTTATCCTCATACGTTGATTTCAATCAAATGCTAATTTTAAAGTAGCATGCCTCCAGATTCATTCTAATGTTCATGAAAATGTGGAATATATGTTATATAAGAGTAAACTATTGTGAAGCGAGCAAAGGAAGTCATTTACACATTCACATAAGCAAAAATAGCCACTACTGAGTAAGTCACGCAGTTGAAATATCATGGTGAAATACTGAAAAATTAGTCATTAATTGCACATAATATGTAAATTAACACTTGAATTTGGAATCTTTTTCTTTTTCTTAAAATCTTATATTCAAATTTGATCTCTTGAAATGTTTTTCTTTCACTTTATTCTTAAATATTTAAAGCAATAATTTAATAAAACTTTTTAGGACGTTTGTACAGCAATGGCAGTACTTCTCCACCTGGTGTTTTTGATAGTTTTCTTCGGAATGCTGACGGAGGGATGTAACCTTTCATATACGGTTCTCAAGCCACTAAGTACTATAAAACCTGGGATGCCACTAATGATATCGTCTTATGGTACATATGTATATGTTAATCAGTTGAATTTTAAATCATATCAGTTAAACACTAGTTAAACATTATATATAAATATTAATAGAATGTAAATATTAATGAATATAATAGTTAATAGTATCGGTACTATATTTTTGTTATAATTGTTTAATTTTGCATTGACATGACCGGGCGGTGGGCAGCTGAGGTAGGGCTTAGGCCCACGCCGGCAATCTGTGTGTGTGTGTGTGGGGGGGGGGGTTATGTAATAAACATGTTTATGCTTGTTGTAATGACATACTATTTCAATATCATTTATTTCCAGTCCTCGCAGTTATTATTGTGGTGATATCAATGGGTGCATCACAGCTACAGGGATATGGAACAGAACAGGCGTAAGTTTCCATCATTTTATGTGACACTTTTTAAACGGTAAGCGTTTTTGCATTTCCATTTCTGATGGATTTGCGATTACTTAAATCATAAATGTGCTTAACATACTTTCACATATTTGTATTGGTCGCTTTATACAAACTTAATGTCATAACATCTTATTTTTGGAATTATATAATTGTTCGCATATTGAATTAGAAGTATTATTGTCCTCAACTAATAAAATAGCCATGCGAAAATGGACTTTTAGGACGGTTCCACAACAGTGCAGAAGAGCTAACCTAAAAGGGTGCATCATTCACAAGATTATGGTCCAAAAGAACATAATCGTGTAAACATGAGTAACAAAATAGATAAAAAGGCTAATTTATGTTGATTACAACCAGCACCATTTCCAACAATAGTAATTAATTATTGTATGATGCATTTTTTTTAGTTTCTGTACTGTATGTTTAATGTTACGTACTTATGTATCTGATTGACCTTAATAAATGTACCAATATATGGTCTATGTATCACCCGAGTATAAATCAGATTGCCGTGTGTTTTGATGTTCTTTCTCTTTTCTATTATAGACAAAAATAAAAACATGGTCCATGTCTTCGCAATATGAAACCCCAGAAAAAATTAACAAGCATCTGAATATGACTTTTCTATTGTTATCTCTTTCATTGTGGTCCCAATTAGTAAAACCCAGAAAAAAATGAGCCAAGTGCGGGTAACTGATACTTGAACCTCAGTTAACGCACTTTCAAAAGTAAAGTCTCCAAACTATGATTAAAACTTATTTCATAATTTTAACGTTTCCATGTAAATGATTTTCATATTTCTAGATATATTCCAGATGCTGGTTATCGACTGAAACTGGATTGATATGGGCATTTATTGCTCCGGTTCTTGTTGTTATAGTGGTATGTACATTGTGTGACTGTATTATTGTATGGCTGTATAGTATTGTATTTTCGAAATTTGTTAACTTTATTTAAAGTCGGTTTACATATTACAAGAAACATTATCTAATAAGCTATTTACCGACAATAACAAAGACATAAAACATATTGACTAAAATAGAACAGATCTGAAAGTAAAAATATTTAAAACTAGTAGCAGCTTTAAACATGAAATACATGTAGTAAGATTGAGAACTATACAATAAAATGACGAATTAAAGCAAAGTATAATGACATGCACAGTACATAAATGGTAGAAAACTGTTAATCTATTGTCTATTATTCCATTATTATATGGTTGATTCTCGAAAAAGTAGTAACATGGAATGTCTCATTTATTTAAAACACGCGAAAAATGGACGTAAACAGAATAAAATGTTCCAGGACAAAAAATTATTTGCTATTTTAAGTGGGGTTTAACCGATTATCAACTACTTTGTGCATGCACCACTCGCCGCTTTAAGGCAATTTATTGCCATTTTTATTCATACAATCATTTTTGGAAGTATTCCTTTTCAAATCCAAACAATGATTTTTGCATCAGATATGTAGCTTTATATACTTTAAACTTCACAATAGTTTTTTAACTGGTGTCGATTTTTATTGGACAATCATAACATTTTGTTATTTTTATAATGCTACGTTTTACAGGATGGGTGACCACGTGACATTTATTTACGGTAAGATTGGGTCACCGCAAATGGTATTTGCTAATATTTCGTTTTTAATATTGTCTTTTAATATTTGACTTATAAACAAATACCATGTTCCAGGTAAATATTGGCAGATTCCAATGGTATTTAATTTTCCATTATAATAGCTTTTCTTTTACTTTACTCATTACGCTTGCAAGGATTTTTTGATTAACAATATGTGTCAAAAATTCTGCAAGAACGTCGGGAAAAGTACCAGAGCTACATCTTAAAAAAATGTACCATTTGAATTGGAGAACAATTGCCTGGAACATGATGCATTTTTATAGTTTAAATATTGAAAAATAAATGGGAAAATAGAAAATACGTTTTGTCGTGACCCAATGTTACCTTAAGCAAATGTCACGTGATGACCAATCATGATTTTAATGATTGCGAGTTTCAAGAGGTAGTCTATATACACGGCTGCTGTAAATTACAATTAGGAAATCTCAATCAATCAATCAATCAATCAATCAATCAATCAATTTAGAATTTATCTATTTATTTGTTTATAAAATTGATTAATAAATTAGTTTATTGAAATTAATTCATAACTTAATTGACTGATTGATTGATTAATAAAGCTAAGCTTAAATTCGAAATTAATTTATTAATTAATCAATCAATTTATAACTAATAAATCTATTATTTTATGAACATGTTTTTGTTTTAAACAATTCGTTTCAGGTTAATTTTATAATTGTTATCTTCGTGATTCGGACAATGTGTGGCACTACAGCAATGTCGAAGAAATCAAACAAAGGACGGGCAAAGTATGACAGTTGCTTATTTATGTGTTTTTGTCAGACGTGTTTACAATTGTACTACAATAAATAAATAAATAAAAACGAAGCCTGTCCAGTAAGTTATGGACAACAGCGTTTAAATGCAAATACTCAAAGGACTTTTGTAACAAAATTTACAAATATTGAATACGCAATTGTGTAAGCAAACATGCGAACAAACCAGCATGATATCATTTCATTTAAATACACAGAACAAATAATAACTCTACCTGGTAAAGCAATGTGACATCATCGAGACATACCGATAATATTTTTTAAAATTTCCTAGATACTGAGAGCTTTTTGGTATCTATTTTCATTATAATGTTTTCAATTCACTCCACTGTTAACGATTGCTTGACTACGGGCATCCCACATTTTGTCATCTGCTACATATTTATTATGACACTTGTATAACAACGATCGTAATAAATAAATATTTATATTGACGAACACTCACTTATACACATACTGTTGACTAAATTAAGCAACATATTCTGATGATAAATGAGATCAATTTGGAAACATTCCATGTAAGCTAAATCTGTGTAATGTTTTGGGAGACAAAACATCGCCTTTTTAAATCGCCGTCTCATAATGATTGGACCAAAAAACAAGATCGTTTTCCATCAGTACTTTAATACTTTAAATGCATGACTACTTATGTTAATATAACACCGTATATCATATCATTTCAGGGCAGCATTACGTTGCATATTGGTGCTCATGCCGTTGATGGGTCTGACCTGGGGGTTTGGAGTACTATCTTTGAATAGTGACACAATTGCTTTCCAGTACATATTCGCTATTCTTAACAGTTTTCAGGTATCCAACAATTAATTTAAATCTCATCAAAATGCAACATTCAAATGTAAATAAGGAACAAGTGCGCTCAATTAATTTGATTTACATTAAACCTTCATAATTCGTGAAATGGGATACCTAAAACATAGTTTGGAACAATCTAGTCAAAGTTTCAAGAACTTTGTCAAATTGTAAAAAAGATCTACAATCAGCAAATTTGAATATATAGTCTGTCCAGGCTTTAAATGGTGGCAACACTTTTGTTTCACAATGTTCAGCGGTGCCCCGTTAATTTTGATTATGCCTCTTTACGGATCATTAGCTAAAAGTTTGCTAAAAGTTTAAAGCACAAATATTTTAACGTTTTCTGAGTCTTATCTTTTAGTACTAGTAACGAACAGTAAGTTTATTATTTGAATATTTTTGCTATATTTATTTCATGCATTAAATGCACAAATACAACCTGACAGAAAGACGATTATTTTGAACGAATGTGATCAATAAATGGCATGTCATTTTAGTCATATATATGTTTTAGTTATGTATATTTATATATGTTTTAATCATTAAGGGTCATTGGAATAATACTTTGATCTTGTACTTGTAATTGCTTTCATTTATTTTACTAACGCGGATCACGCACGGCGAACCCGCGCCTCCAGTGATCTTGACCTAGCTAAATCCAAGAAAATGTAGAACACTCTAGTTAAGAACAAACTCCTAACCAAACATTTAAATACCATTATTAAAACTCCCTGTACGTCATAGATGCTTTTCATGTTTTTAGTAATGTGTGAGCAGATATCTTATTTATATTTGTACTGTTTTCGGGCACTGTACTATAAAACACATGTATTCCTAAATGTTTGTGTTAAATACTGTAACGATGCCACCATTATCAAACGTATGGAGGTTTTGAATTATTTATTTCCATTATGTACTTATGAAAAAATGATAAAAAGAATATAATTTACAGGGACTGCTGGTCTTCATATTTCACTGCGTGTTGGACAAAAAGGTAACCGTTTCTAATTATTTGCCAAAATTGGTACCATAACTGAATTTTGCAATCTTGGTTATATCATTTTTGTTCCTTTTAAGTTTCAAACCGCAAGACACACTGAACACTTAAAATATCTAAAACATCATTTTAACTGCTATAATGAATCATACGTGATAGCATATTGACTTGGCGCGCTAACAAGTGATGTAACAAGACGATTCCTAGGTGTTTAGCGATCTTTTACTCCTTTCATTGTAGCTATGCTGTCACCATCTTCGTTTATAATGTTATTGCTCTCAGTGGAGCGACCTGACCGCATTAATCATCGCACTGCCGCGAAACAGTTAAAAAGCTTAACCAATAAATTGTATCTTCTTGCAATATGACTTGATGAAGTGAGTTCAAAACATTATTCATATAAAATAAAGATGAGATTTCAAAATTCTTTAAATTATGAGTCCTAAATTAAAATGTGGATAGCTTACTTATTTTGGTGAGTCTAAAAACCAAACCGTGGTTAGCTAAGTACGTAACTTTGTTGATAAAAAATAAACATTAATGTAACACGACTTCAATTGCAGATAAAAGATGCATTTACAAAACAGAGAAACAAATGGCTACAGTCGACGCAGAGTTTCGGAGTTTCTGAAGGAAAGAGAAGCGTAATTATCATACTTTTCATATTTTAAAGAACATTTACATATTTTTATCTGTTTCTTTTATATTATAACAAAGTGTGCTAAGTTAATTCAAAAAGTAGATTTTGAATAATTTTTCTTCTCAAATTATTAAATTGATTGTTTGTTTAAATTCATAATTATTTTATTAACCGTTAACCTTCTAGCACCGAAAATAACTTAACTTTGTCACTAGTATAGAGCCAGGCCAGCCTGTACTTCCGTGCAGTCTGACCAGTATCTATACTAATGTTAGATCTATATCATTTGATACTGAAAACTTTAAACATTGAATCGCAAATTTTATATTTGTATATTATTATGCCTAGTGTAAAAATTAGTTTATTTTCGTTTTTCTTTTAAGAGAACACAAGACACTTCCGTTTTCTGAGAACCAAGAAGAATCAATTCATCGATGGAGTATTTCAAAATGTGATTTTTCGGACATTTTGGCCATTCAAGACTTGGGTACATCTAAAACAGCACTTTGTATATTAAAGCTTCTCGTAGATCATAATCAATCGATGAAGTACTTAAATATTTGTCGGACGTTTAAATATTCACAGATTCCATGAATCCATCGATGCAGTATTTGAATCACCGATATTTCAGACGTCAAATGGCATATTCATAAAATTCAATCCATTGATATAGTATTCAATTGTAACTTTGTTCAGCGTCTCCATATTCACAAAGTTTTATTCGTGGATCCAGCTATTGAGTATTTCAGATATCAGTTTGGTTTGTCGGATGTTTGTATATGCATAATTTTCAATAGATCAATAGATGTAGTTTTTTTTAAAGAAATATCCATCTGTCAGACATCTACTTATTCAGTATTACAAACATTAATCTGTCTGACGACCGCATATTTTCAGCTTTACACAACATCGTGTGCACGTGATATTGTAATACGCTTGTTTTTTGTATTGTTTGATATGTTACGGTGAATGTTTCTTTCTTTAATATGTGGATTAAATGAAACTGTGTTCTTTCAAGGATAAATATATACCTATCACTGCTGTCATACATTTTGGATTTTAATCTCGATATGAGAAAATTCTCATGGTATCTTGATAAATATTGCTTGTCACTTATAGTTTGTAATGCTACATTTGTTTAATTGTTGAAGTTATCTATCACATTTATAGGCTTGCTTTTTTAAAGCTATCAAAAACTATATATGTATCACCATATTTTACATCCCAAGATGATATATTATGGATAAAAATTTCGGCCAATAAACTTTTAATAGATAAAGATATATATATTGGTCTGTGTTATGTAATACCAGACAATAGTAGTAGACAATCCACAATAGATGATAACATTTTTGACAGATTGATTGATTCAGTTACTGATGTAGAAAATTGTTCAAATGATGACTGCTATTATACAATTTTTGGCGATTTCAATGCTCGAACGTCTGTACTCCCAGATTTTGTTATTCATGATACTTATAATGTTTTTAATAGTGATATTTTACCAGACGATTATCAGACAGATAGAAATTTAGATCGGTTTTCACAAGATAAAGGGCATGTTAATAATAATGGCAGGTTGCTTTTAGATTTTTGTAAACAAACGGGTTATAGAATAATGAATGGACGGAAAGATCAAGATTATAATATTGGTAAATACACATTTGTGAATAATAGAGGGTGTAGTGTTGTTGACTATTTATTGTGTAAAAATAGTGTATGTGAGAAAATTGGTACATTTGATATTGATTGTCCTAATATTGTGTCTGATCACTGTCTTATAACTGTTTCTTTTGTGTTCAATAAATCTACTGATTATGTTGACAGTATATATGATTATAATAATTTAAATCAGAATTATGATAGTGTTGATTATACTTATGTATGGAAAGAAAATTTGAAAGATCAGTATATTGAGTTATTATCAACAGAAGAAAATATTGAGAATCTTGATAATTTAGAAAATAATATCTTATTAAGCTCTACAAAGGACGACATTGATAATTGTTTGCAAAATTTAGAAAACATGTTTAATAATATTGCTTCTCCTTTTATCAAAAGGGGTTCAGCCACTGGCTCTAAGTGTGTAACAAATGATGTAAATCAACCATGGTTTAATAGTGAGTGTTTTGAAAAGAAACAAATATTTTATAAATGTTTAAACAAATATCGTGATTGTCAGAATGATTTTAATAGAGTAAACATGGTAAAAGCCAGGTCTGAGTATAAAACTGTATTACGTAAATGTAGATATAATTTTGATAAAGAAAAAACAAATAAACTGTTAACTGTAAGATATAATAATGCACGTTTGTATTGGAAAATGTTAAAAGAAGCTTCTGGTGTAAATCATTCTAATATACCGTTATTAACATTTGCCCAATATTTTAAAGCCGTAAATAGTCCAGATGATAGATTTTTTTCACCTGACGAAGATATTTTACATTTTGTAGAGCGTTATGAAAATAATGAATTTAAAATAATGTTTAATGAATTGAATACCATCATCACTACGGAGGAGATTAGTTTAGCTTTAAAGGAGCTCAAGAATAATAGGTCAAGCGGGCCTGATTTATTGTTGAACGAATTTTTTGTACAAGGTAAAGATATTTTATTACCTGTTTTGTATTCGTTATTTAATAAAATATATGATATTGGTTATTTTCCTGTTAGGTGGTCAGAAGGTTATGTAATACCTTTACATAAAAAAGGGAGCATTAATAATGTTGAGAATTATCGTGGTATTACACTTTTAAGCTGTTTAGGTAAAATTTTCACCCGTATTATTAATAATAGATTAAAGTTTTGGGCAGAAAATTACAATGTTTATATAGAAGCACAAGCAGGGTTTAGATCAAAGATGAGTACAGTAGATAATATATATGTATTAAATGGATTATTGTCACACTTTTTAAATCAAGGAAAGCAACTTTATACTTTATTTGTTGATTTTAGTAAAGCATTTGACTATATTGTTAGAGATAATCTGTGGTACAAATTGATACAACTAGGTTTACGAGGAAAGATTTTTGATATTGTAAAATCCATTTATGAGTCTGTAAAATCAAGAGTTAAGCATTGTAACATGTTAAGTGAGGAATACTCATATTTACTAGGAGTAAGACAAGGAGAATGTCTATCTCCTTTCTTATTTTCTATGTTCATAAATGACCTTGAAGATGTTTTTATACATGGTAATATGACTGGCTTAGATGTAAACATGTTTAAAATATTTTTATTACTATACGCAGACGATATTGTTATATTCGCAAATTCACCTGAAGAACTCCAAAAAAGTATTGATTTATTATACAATTATTGTGAGCTGTGGAAAATGAAGGTGAATGTCTCTAAAACAAAAATTATGATTTTTAAAAAAGGGGGAACATTACCACGAAATTTAGAATTTTTATACAATGAACAGTCTATTCAGATTGTGAACAATTTTTGTTATTTAGGTGTTGTTTTTACAAGTGGAGGTTCATTAAGTACCGCCCACAATACTATAGCAGGTCAAGCGCAAAAAGCAGTATTTAAGCTGAATAAATATTTATACAAATTTACCTATTTACAACCAAAACATAAATTAGAATTATTTGATAAACTCGTATCTCCGATTTTAAATTATTGCAGCGAAGTGTGTGGTTTTGTCAAAGATTTATCAATTGAAAGGGTGCATTTACAATTTTGTAAAAAAAATTTGTGCATTTTTTGAATATTATTAAATATTGGTTAAAAATATTACATTTGGGAAGAAACAAGTATGTCTTCATTATTTACTCTTTGTTAAAGGATGATTTTGAACAGTATGAAAATAGGCAAAACTGGTGTTCAATGTTAAAAGATTTGTTATGTTCACTAGGTTTTGTTGACGCATGGTTATATCAAGGTGTAGGTGATGATAAGATATTTTTGTCCTTAGTTAAACAAAGATTAAATGACCAATTTATACAGAACTGGAACTCAAGATTATCAATTTCTAGTAGAGCTTTGTTTTATAGAAATATTTCTTTCTTTAGGTACCAACCATATCTTGATTGTTTTACTGCAAATAAATTTGTTCAGTCATTAACACGTCTGAGAGTGTCCTCTCATAGACTACAAGTAGAAGCTGGTAGGTGGGCAAAACCAACCAGAACACCTTTAAACGATAGAAAATGTTCAATATGCAATACTCTTGAAGACGAATACCATTTTGTTATTGAATGCTCATTATATACAGAATTAAGAAACACTTACATTCACAAGAAGTTTTGGAACAGACCAAATATGTATAAATTTATAGAACTATTAAATTCAGAAAATAAAAAAGTGATAAGAAACCTAGGAATATTTGTTGAAAAAGCTTTTAAACTAAGAAATTCTATCATTTAATTATTTGTTAAAGTTATAATTGTTTTTTGTTAATACCGTTAGTTGAAACAATCTCATGTAGTCATTAATATAAGTTAGTGTCTAAGTATACTGTTAATTAAATTGTCTTTTTTCTATAAACTATGCATACTATATTAATTTAAGTGATATATATGCTTTCAAAAGATGAATATATTCTAGGGTTACTTTTGATACTTTATAAATTTTCTTTTGTCTCTATGGCGAAAGAGCTATGACACATGAATAATGTTAATAATACATTGTGTAGTATGCATATTTATTTTATTGTATGCGATGTGCTCATTTTGTTGAAATATATCATCTTAAATAAACGTATATATGTAAAACGAACATATTAATGACAATAAGTCATTTTGAACATGATTGTTAATTTATAACATATTATCAGTCTTGCAATTTCTTTTCGGTAAGGCCGATATATTTATGTTATAACCATTACAAACGAATTAAATATGCATCCATTATATTCTATGTTTCTTGTCTTAGAATGTGGCAAGAATCGTGGATATATTTAGTACATGTATGTATATAACCTATTATTTGATGAATGTATATAATTTCACATAGGTTTAAAACTTTAAACATTTATCAAATATATATGTTTTGGATTACATTTATATCAAATGATAACTATACATATATATGTAAGTGAAACACAACATTAATGTATTTATACTTGAAGAGTTTGTCGTTATGATCTTCTCCGATATTATCATCATGCTATGTTATGTATTTCATATGTACGTATATGCACTGTTCGTTGTCTAGTATTATGCTGTTATCATGTCATCGTGGGCTTTTAAGCCTAATATGATTGAAATAAAACTATCTATCTATCTATCTGTAAAAACCGTTTTGCTCTGTTTCAAAGTCTTTGTAATAGATGAATATTATTTATATAACAAAGTTGTGACAGTTTCAATGCAACATGATTTTGATATTTGTACTTCATTTCAGAATTCAGAAAGTTTCTTGTCTTTGTGCAGTTACAATAATACAGTTTCCATTAAAATATTCAAACAAACAAGAGAAAAAACAAACAACAACACAATTTGAAACAAAAAGTAACAAGGTCCATTTGGATTACTGATATCAATATATTTGGTAGATTGATGAAAACCGGTGTTGTAGGAGTCACTGCTTAAATTTTACCATTATACAGTAAATTTCTTTGCAACTTAACAAATTGATTGATATAATGTTAACTTTATGTTAGAAAATGACAAGCAAGATCAGCAAGGAGGGGTGGCGTTCAATGAAGCCTGTTTGTCATTAACAATGCACTGGTCTTTTGAGACGTTAGTTACATTGCATTAATTCTGAATCATCCCTCATAATATTATAATGATTATGTTAATACAAAAATTCAAATCATCTATGTTTTTTGTTCTTTATTTAAATCACTGTTCACTATTGCTGAACAAAATATGACATGGACCGAGTGAAAAAATAAATTTCACGTTCTAAAATATAAATGTCAAGGTATAAAAAGATGATGCCTCGCAAATTTATTTATGATCTTTCCTACTTACAATTTCAGACTTAAGAGCGAAACCTTTTTTATTTTTTTAGTGTTAAGGTAAGATCTAAATGTCTAAATTTACGCATATCTTATTCCCTTTGAATTCCTGTAAAATGACTACGTCATATGCAGATATCCATGAATGAACGTACTTACCTTTGTAGGTAAGTGTAAAAGCTATTACAAACAAAATTGATATAGATCTATGATTAATTAAAACACTTTCTCTTGGACAATCAAACTAATCAAGTAACTCTTTTGATAAAAGGAATGATTTTTAACAATCAATTTATTTTACTATCACATCATACTTATTGTAGAGAAAGTCTGCTAAAAGAACTTCCTCCTGATGTGGATTAAGAAATAATATATCCCAAACTGTGATTTTACTCATTGATGCGAGGAATTATATCACGAGGGCGTAGCACGACAGTGATTTTATCAAGCAATAAAATCACCGATTTGGATATATTATTTCGATTCTAACACGACATCAACAAATAAATGCTGCCGTACCTGATTTAAAGCTAAATTGCGCTTGATTTGTTTCCGTACTTATTATCAGTGCGTCACATTTTAGTTGTTACGTCACGTGTATAATGCGCATTACGTCACATGTCTAAATATCCCTGAAAACGTGTACCCATGAAAGTGTATCTGCACTTATTCGACTTGTAAAATACTTGAAAAATTAATATCATAGTGAGACCGGGCTGTAATTCCAACATTCACATCCTAACAGCTATTGTCCGATTGATATTACTAAATGAGTGAAAACAAACCCTTACGGTATATTATTTGCGTTGTGGACTACAAAGCGACCAAGAATTTATTTACATCACATTTTAAATGTTATTTTCGTCAACTCTCTAATATATCAATGAATACTGATTAAGTACAGAGCAGGATCACTAGTTGTTTTTGTCACATGATGGCAAGACAGATTTAATGTCATCTGTCTCCAAGGATAAATGTCAAAGTTACCGGTATAAAAATTAACATTGTATACTCGGTTCCTATGATATCAAGGGTTCTATGATATCAAGGTATTTAGATTTTCTGTGACTGCTAGTAAAAGCAACACATGATGATGCTAATATTTGTAAAACTTGCACACTAGACTCATTTTCATCTGCCAATAAATTTAATTTGGTGAATAATGAATGTATTTGTGGCAAGAAAACTATTTTATAAAACCTTCATATTTGACTACCATTTTAATTAATGGTTTTTACACAGTCAATTAAAATATGTTATAAACACATATACTGACATATAGTCTGTTCATATAGTTTTAATTTTATAGCAAGTTAACTGTTGGAAGTTTTAAATTCACAATTTAATTTGAAAGTTTTGACCCATCTATTCTTCCATACTTGCTTTTTTGAGAATCACCTTGATACCGTAGTAACCTCCTCTGAAATTACCCAAAATGGCAGACATTGCAAATATTCTAAAAAATGTCATTTTTATTGGTTCTTTTGAAATAATTGTTTGACAAACAGTTCTGGAAAAGGTTCAATTATAAGATGGAAGAAAAATCTCTTTCATTTATTATATTAATATTTAAATATTTTCCAATAAACGTTAAGTACCGTGATATCATAGAACCCCGGGCTATGTCTCATTTAAAATATGTTTAGTGAAAACCCTTTAATGAAGTGTATTAGATCTTTTTCAAATAATTGTTATAACACCGTTATATTAAAACACCAAAGTATTTATACTAATAATCAGTCGACGACCGGCCAGACAGGGCCAGATAATATACTATTCTTCGCCGGTCAAAAGAGACCGTGAGAGACCGGAAGGGATCGGATCGGCAAATGATATAGCCTATCAATTTAGTGGTCATCAACCTTAAACTTATAACACCAAAAGTATTCCGAATAGTTACCACAGCGCCAAAAGTCAAAACTGATTTGCTTTTTATAAAGATGGTTTTGTTTGTTGTGATATTGCAACATTGACCTGTCTTAATTGGTGTTTTTGCTCACATACAGTATACCGTATAAATCTAGTAGATCTACTAACAAATTCAATCAGTCGATTTATCTGAAATGCTTTTCTGACTTGATGAGTGAGTATTCCTAAAAAAATCAAGGTTTTGGGGGGTCTGACACACTTTGTCAAATCTTATTTTCACCAATTAAAACTCTTACTCCTTATTTGTGTAGAATAAAAATAATACAACAGAACAAGCATCTTATGTCGCCCAAATTGACAGGCGGTTCAATCATTGATTGTTACAATAAAGCACAGTTTTAAATCATACTACAGCATTATCATAATGTCGTTATTGTTAATAATCACATTGAATTTTTATAGCATTATTTTAACTTAAGGCTATTTAGGTATAAAAGAACTGTTATAATCTTGTTAGCCAGAATTGATTGCTAAGCAGTATAATGTAGATGTAGATGCAGTTTATTTATGTTTCTCTTACTTATACATGTATTTATAATGCAGACAAAATTTACCCTGTCGCAATGATCAACTTGACAAAGTGGACAAAAAAAAGTTTGCACTGATCCCATTATACAATGTCCCATATAAAGGCAACACATTCTGTATTGAAAATGTTACTTAGGTGTTACCATCTGCTCATTACGTAAAGACAATTTGGTTGATTTTGCCTTCCTTTATGGATCCCTGTCCATTTCATAACATCTTTTCCTGTTAAAAGCATACATGGAATATAATTATAGCCAACTAGTGTACATTTTCAGGCTGACCGAAGCATGCCAGAACATACCCCAAGCAAACAAAGCAAAATTGATCTTTCCGAGACAGCTGGTTCACTTTCACATCAAGTGTCGGTTTCTAGTTACACTCTTGATTCAAATGAGGAGAATTATTCAGCTTATCTGGAGAGATATTGTCATGCCTCACAATTACCAGACTCTGGTTTTGAAAGTGCATGTTCAGTCTCTTCTGCTACAACACCAACAAGCACTTACCAGTCTTCAAAGAATGAATTCACTATGGATAGCCAGTGGCAAGAAAGTTCAGCTTGCTCTCTACAAAAATCTGTGATTAGCAATACTTCATGCTCTGATATGGTTTCCCAAACTGATGGCATGTGTGATAAAAGATTAACAGATTTCCAACCTTTTCAAAACATTTGTTCATCTTCAAAGAATAATGGTACATGGAATGTTTCACCAGCTTCAGTAAATACCTTCTGGAGTTCTAAGCAGGGCAGAAATCCAGACCAACAATCTGATCCATCTTATGATACTGGCTATAGTAGTCATAGCACTGGGAGCAGTTATCTAGGTCAGGGTAGCCAGCTAGAAAGTTCATTCATGGATCAGGGGTCACAACTTGATCTTGAAGCAGAAGATAATGGTTCACTAACAGGAAATAAGCCTGCAAAGGATAACTATTTGTGTGGGGAAAATGAGTTAGAAGACTTGCTTTATCACTTCCGTAAGTAAAACTACATATATGTTGGATACTAACTCAAAAAATATTTTTGATAAAAATAACTTAAGCAAAATCACATTATCTTTTTAAGGGGAAAATTAATAATGCTAAATGATAAAAAAAAATGAAACCGTGTTGGACACAAAAATAGTTATTTTTGAGTAGTGAAATTTATGAAAAAGGGTGATATATATTAAGAAAATTAAACCAATTTTCCACATCTTACTAAGTTTGTATTTGTGTTGTTTTAATCTTAAGTTTTGATGATATTTTATGTAATTCTTTGTTTTTCTGATGAACTGTTAAGTTGTGATAAAAAAGTTTGATCTCAGTATCAATAAATGTAATATTATATATGAAGATTTATAAATTATCTGCACTAAATTCATGTTTATTTCAGAAAATTTCTTTCAAAATCGTTTTGAAAGTGAGTTCCAACGTTACCGGGAAGCTGTGTATGGAATTATACAGGAACAACAGAGCCATGTACGACAAATTGTCCATACAGCCATCAGAGAGCAAAGCTCATCACAGGTAAATTTAAAATACCGACAACAGAAAACATGTTAATGAATAAGTAGATGCTTCTAATGTCAAATGCTTCAAAATCTTTATTTATTTTTGCTGCATAGCACAAATCCAATCTTATATTATTCATTCCATGGACTTCTGAAATTATTTTTTCAAACTTTTAAAGAGTATGGGTTATGGTATTTTGTTATATAAACTATAAATTTGTATTTTATTTCTATTTTTTAACTTCAATGAAACATACTTAAAGATCCTGTATGTTGTAATAGAGGTTGTATACCACACTTAAGTGAAATTATATATATATGCATATGTAATTATGCTGATAAACCAATTTTCATATGTAAAATATGTACTGCAAATATATGTACATATTATATATGTAATCATTCAAATATATGCATTAATTTATTACTGAAAAATTTGACTTCGACTTTATAGAAAACAGATTTTCTATTACCTCCATTCATTTACATGAAATGTTATATTTGGTAATATCTTTATAAATAATGCTTTTTGAAACTTACAAAATTGATAAATCTTAAATTTGAGCATCATATTTATCATATAAAACCATAAGAAGTTTTTGATACATCATCTTTAAAACAATTTTTTTAACTTTACAGAGAAGTTTTACAGAAGAGTTTTTGTCAGAAGAAACAGAAAAAGAACCCACTCCAATGAGACCTATGAATCAAACAGGAACTGGTATGATTTTAAAATTATATTGTTATAATGTAATTATATTAGGTTATTATACATTGTTGAGTACAATACTGAATTCACATGAGTACACAGCTGTTAAACCTTTTTTGGATGAGGCATTAGCCCAGTCTGATATAGGTTTTGCAGCTGTGTAAGAGTCCAATAGAATCAGTATTAATCTCAACCATGTTTTAATGACCAGTCTTTATTTCACACCACCATTTTTTTGACTTCAATTACGATGAAGGTTTGATACGGATTTTGGTTAAAAAAAAACCCTAAAACGAGGCTAGATAGGGTGTGATATGGATTTGATATGGACTTTTTGGACACAAGGCTAAATTAATAAGATTGGATCCAAAAATGATTTCTGCTGGTACATCACATGGTTCAAATGCTGAAAGTGCCTAGGTTATATTTTATAAGGTGTGAAATAATAGAAAGTAATGCTACAGGTTTAATACACACAAATATGCATGTAAATACATGTACACTGTTTTAGCAAATTGACTTAATGTCTATTTATAATAGATAAATACATAACTTTATTATCATCACAGCACCTACTGATGATTTTGCAAATCTGAATATGAACATATCGGAATTTTCTATTCAGGACTTGAAATTTCATTTATTATTACTAAGCATGCCATCAAATGGAAAAAGAGGTGTCTATAAGAGGTAGTATGTACTTAGAACATTTTAGATATGTAAAATAAACCTAACACTGACAAAGAAGGGAACAATTCTTTGATATCATTTGATCTTGAGTCACTGGTTTGATAACATATGTGTTTGATAACAAATCTCCAATTTGAAGAGGTCAATCTGTACTATAGGTTTGGTTGTATACATGTTGTCTTTAAGATAATTCATTGAATGCTAGAAGACATAATTTCTTGCCAGAGACTTACCAGACACTAACTGGTTGTTTGATATCAAATCCCTTATTTAAAAATAAAATGACAAAAAATTCATTTTAGAACAAGTCTGTTTCACAAATTAAGCAGGATAAAGAGTTATTATTTCATTTACATGTATTTCAGGCATGCCTTTCAACTCATTGTTAGACAAAGACTTCTTTATACCAATCAGTACTTGTCTGCAACCATCAAACAGGTAGGTGTTAAAAATCTTATTCGATTTCTGATAATAAGATATTTTGCTGTTCTCTCTATTGAATAAATTTGCTTTACAATCCATACTTGATTAATTAAAACTTAATACTTGCACATACAGTTCAACAAAAATCTCACTGGATTAGATAAAAATATTCTGAATTCAGTAAACATTTAATAATGAGGGAACCTATTCATATTTTCTGATAATAGATGCTATCCAGAACTTGGCAAAATTGTGGCTTTTCCCCCATCATACTGCCTGGTATAGAGGAACTTTTTGCTGTCATGGCTTCTCAGTGCATTAATGTCTGAGTGATCAACATATTTTTCTGATTTTGTATTTACAATTATTGAGTGCAACACCATCATTCTTGAACTTTTAAATTAAGTCTTTACTTAGGTCTTTACTTCCTGATTAGCTGGAAATTTCCCAAATATTCTGAATTAGACTTTATAAAATTCAGCAGATAATGGGCTATAATTACTCTCACATGTATCTGTTTCAATTTCTTGATATTAATAAAAAAAATGTTTCATTATAATAATACTGTTAAGGAAAATCCATAAATTATTGTGAAAAATTGTTTTATTTTATTTTCTCCAAATGCTATTATGTATGTTTTTCAGCACGTCAGTTGTGAAGGATGGAACAACAAGAAATAAACTTCTAGATCTATACTCATTGTCCTGTTCTGTCAGCACTTTGTTAGCCAAAAAACAATTTAAATCTTAGCATATGTTGTATGAACTTGTAGTTACAATGTCTGCAAAGCAGATATCCGAAAATATTTGTTATTTTATGATAATTTATAAAGGTAGGTGTGATGTTAGAGAGTGTACTGAGGGTATCATTGTTCTATGCACAAAGAACTTTCTGAATGTACTTGTATATTTATGAATGGTTGAATGTTGACATACAGTTTTAACATTGGCTTTATTTCTATATTAAAAATATTGACACTAAAATTGTTTTTATGCTTTATTTCTATATTAAAAATATTGACACTAAAAATGTTTTTTTCATGGTACATTCTTGCAATTTTTTTGTTCAATAATTAAAAATAACAGTTTTTGTCTTCGTTACTGAAATAAATTCTTTTTTAATATTTTAACTTGAAGTACTAAATTCTATTCTAAAAAACTTCTTTAATTATTGCTTGTTTTATGAGAAATTTCATAGTATATTTCCAAGTTTTTTTTTGTAAAGATTTGTTACAATATACTTTTTGTAATCAATTATAACAGTGACAATTATTTAGTACCAGCGATTTAGAATACAATCTCTGTAACTCTCTGGTTTTTGACTTTATGTTTTTTTTCATGAATGTTTTTTGTATTGAAAATGGAAATTATATAAACCTACATTTTATGATTTAAAAAACAATCAAAGTTCTCCGGATAGATAAGTGCTGATATAAATCTTTAATTTACAAAAAGAATAACTCTAATACTGTTTTTAAATTATATAAAGATAATTCATTGGCTATAGCTTGATACCCTTTAAACATTTTTGTGTCGCCTCTATATTGGCATTTTAAGGTTCAATGATTTTTGTCAAGAGTAATGATTTTTAAGTTTTGTTCAGACTACTCTTATACTACTAATGCAATTTTAATGAAACTTTACATGATTAAAACGTACCTCAAGCACTTGCATATATTAAACGGGTTTTCCGGTTGAATAATTTTTGGCAGAGTTATAGACCTTGAATAAAAAATGCGTTTTGCCAATTTAATGATTTTTGTGTCTACACAGAAGCTGCAACATGCAAACGGCTATTATGAGGCGACACATATGATCAATGATCGCTCTTGTATGGTATGGGAACAGCAAATGAAACCTCTAAAGTGTTCAATCCCAATCACTTTGATACATTCTAGATAACTTAAAATGTACAAAATTAGTCTCATATTAAATACATTTAAAGTAGTTTTGAAATCTTTCATTAACATCAACTATGAAAGTTTGACTTTTCAGACCAATCTAAACTTGTTTGTTTTAAGTCAATCCGACACAGTATATGTCATATTGTGCCTAAACAGGAAAGATGATTTTGTCTAACCTTTGGTATTACAAACTTCAAAGCAACACCAGGGGTCAAAACCCCCTCAGCTGTGGAGGTAAAAGATGCTTCTACTCCAGTTATTTGAACCCATGTAGTTGCTTCCTGACGATCACACAGAGATAAACATTGGCTGCAATTCTTATGCCTCAACCATTAAAGGCAACCCCACCTAGACAAGGGGTGCAACAATCTAAAGAATGTAGCTAACACACTACCTCAATGTGTTCAATCCTCACTACAAATACTTCCAAAATGATAAAAGTAATATCTAAAATATCTCTACAATCTAGACGCATTACAAAAACAAAAGCTAAATACCTTTTATAGTAGTTTATTTTTTCCCAAAGTATGACAGATGAAAGAAAAATAAATTTAAACAGCGACTATATGAATAAATAAGCCATAGAATAATACACCTGGACAAATAAACTGCTTTAATAACAAAGCCATGCAATGAATGTAATTCTGCATATAAGTGAAAACATTTTTTTTTCATAAGTAACAATGTTTGTTAAAAATCCTGCTATCTTATAAAGTTCAACAAGACATTTTAAAAATTCAATGGTGTTCCAAAGATTGCCCATCCATTGCCTCTTCTTTAATTGCTTTTACAGTAACAAGAAAATTACTCCATTCAATTTAACACATGTTAATCAGTTTGTTTTTGTTTTTATTTAATTTGGGTTCCGTTATGATCTGTGCACAATTTTAGTTATACATATCGTATTAATATCCTACACATATATCTATTGTTCCGGCTGGATAGCTTTATTGGCTTTCTGTGACAGGTTGATTTTGTCTCCCATACTTAATGCCATACCCTGAAAACATAATGTGATGTTATCAGTTATCATAGTAATATAGTTACGCCAAAAACATGTTACAAATTACACAATTTCATATGTATTCAATATTTACACTTTATCTGTTCCATTAACTATCAAAGGAAAACCTACATTTTATGCTAGAAACAACCTACATTTTATGCTAGAAAAAATGATAAAAATAAATGTGATGTGCCAAAACCATTTGATTAAACAATGAACACAAATACAATTTCCTTACATACTTGCTAAATAAATTTCTGCTCCCTTTGGACCTAATTAATTTGAAGTAATAAATTGAATTCATTAATAACCTTGATTGTCTGAATTTAAATCATAATTTAGTTTAAATGGTATCTATGTTGAGAAAACTTAGTATATTTCAAACACTTGCGAGTCTGCTTCCTGGAACTAACCAATACTTGTGTCATATGTGGAAACATGGCTTTCTACCAGTTCTGGGCTCAAACCCATGACCCCTTCGTTTAGAGACAGGCAACTTAACCAATAGGCCACCACTGCCCTTATAAATCGTCAATTTTGAGCCAATGCTTCTTAATGGTCATGCTTCAATGCAGCAAGGTAAAACAAATATTTTCTTGCTTTAATTTAAATGATTTTTTTTATTATACCCTATAAAGAATAAAATAGATAGGATTTTCTGCATCATGTAATTATAAGACGGTGCTAGTGTTATACCTGACTCTTAGCTCTAATTCTGACATGCCCCTGTACAGGTGTATCAGGTGATAGGTGTGCTGGCTTCTCTATGCTCAGATTAGCTAACACATCTTCTCCAAATATAGACTTGGCATACAGGTTAGCTGCCATAAATCCACAATCTCCTTGTAAAGCCTGTAAGATAAACACTTCATTGTTAAAACATAATATAAGGACACACGTGTGTGTATATTCTTTGCTTAATGATGGTCCATCCGCCCTTTCAGATACTGAGAGAACAAACTCCAGACATTTCACCATTCATGTCCTGCAAGGACATACTTGTTATATTTATAACAGAAGTCACATCTACCCAGCAACAATGACATAAACATGGTATCTTCTCAGTTGTTCTTATTAATCAATTTCTAAGCTTGTTTACCTTTTTTTGTAACAAAGATAAGATTCAGTAAAGCTTGGTAAAACTGTTTTCAATCTTGACATTTTGGCAGAATAAATTCTTATGAGTGACCATTATAAACATCATAGTGGGGGTGAGTATCCAGGTAACCAATGACAACTGATAAGTTTTTAATGTTTGCCATCATAACACTTTAAAAACTTTTTCTTCAAAAATTTTTGTTGCATTCTTATATTGTTGGGAGCCTTAAGTAACATACCTGCCAATTGTCACATGATGATTTTCTGATTAAAACCTCCTTCCTGTGCTTCTTTGATAATTATTTCAGGTCAAAGTAGAAGCAGAAGCTTGTTAGATTGCTTCCTCACTGTCACAAAATTCCACCTATTGGTGGATTTCACACAACAGTGAGCAGCTGATTTAAAACTGGCAACTTCAACACTTGGTCACAAAAGCCCCTTTAATAGGTTTACTTTATGCAAGTTTAATAATGTATCATATGCAACACTAACCTTTTCTGGTGTTAAACATTTCATATTTGTACACTTTATGACATGTTCCAGGAATTTCCTCAGGTCAGAAATATTGGTATTCACAGCCACTTTGTTCTCCCACTCAAACTCCGCCCACATCTGTCGGAACTCGGAGTCATTACAGGACGCTGGGACAATGTAGTCCATTATGTCAATGTGAATATCATTTAGAACAACAACATTTCTATCACTGGCCGCCCCAGTTACATCATATACTGAAATAAACAATACATTCAAAGGTAATACTTATTTTCTAACATATGCATGAAATGTATAACTTGTCTAAAGATTTATTTAACTAGCATTTTCATAACAAGATGTGGTCACATTGAAAAATTTAGTTTTGATGAAGATAAGGGGCAAACAAAAAGCAAGACTGAATTAAAATTCTATGAATAATATTTGATAAAACTATCTGTATAATAGCGGATTTCAACCTTTTAGCTTCAGGCTTTCCATTTACTTTTTCACATCATTAAAGAATATAAGTAATATATAAAATATTTAATTAACCAAAGATATACCAATATTTCCAAAGATTATTCCATTTTCTGTAGAAGCCACCTTGACATTAGCCTTGATGTTACAGAAATCATGTGGAGCCATGGTCAGTGGCTGGGGCTTCTCTACTAGTTTTAAATCTCCTGTAATGTATAAAACAAATGTTTATTAAAATACTGAGTAGTAAAACAATGACATCTACTCTATTGTGTTTTATCTACTCACGTCATGTCTAGACTTGACAAATTCTTTTCTGTCTTTCAATAGGAAAGCTGGTTATATCTCCAAATAATTCTTTCAGACTAGCGAAGGACAAGAGAATTGTCAATATCTTAATAGTTTCAGACCTGTCATTTTCATGATCAAACAAAGATAATTTTGTTTTGTTGTTTTTCGGTTTTAAGTCACACTGACAATTTTTAAAGGTCATATGGTGACTTTCCAGCTTCACTGGTTGAGTGCCCCTTAATGCATGATTTTAGGCACAAACAGACACCTCAAGTATTGGTAGATAGCTGGATAGCTCCCTCACAGGAAGTAGCCCGAAGTCCTGTGTGGATCTCAAACTTACAGCAGTGACAGGCAAGTTGTTCATAGTCAACATTCCTAACAACTCCTAAAAGCACCCAATGAAGGTAACAGGCATGCTTTTTACAAGAAAAGTGTTGTGATACAGACATACAGTTCATATGACTGAACATTTATAAGGTAAAGAATTGTCTCTTGTTAAAGGCAATATGAAAATACTAACCAAGTGTTGCCAGTTCAAGAGTTAGGTTCTGTAAGGTATCTGCAGTCTGGTTAACAACAAGAACATCAAGTACGATATCAAACTGGTTCACATTTACATACGCCTCCGCATACACCGGATCTGAGAAACCAGTCAACTGTGTCACCTGAAAACAATTGTTCAAAAAGTGAAAAGAATCAAACAATTTTTCAATTACATGAGAATATAGTAACTAAGTGCCTGATGAAAGTGCTACAGTACATGCCTCTATAATACAATGCATTGACATAGTTACCCACTAAAGTGGATAATATTTAATGAATGCCAAATTTTTAGCCATTGAATGAAAACACAAATTAAACACTGTTGTATGAAAAAGAGCTATTCCCATTAAAAAATTTATAGACCAAAGAAAATTGTCAAAACAAAAGTTTTTGTAAACAGAAATTTACATCTGGAAATTATAAAACAATCTAGCAAAATGTCATAAATTCATTTTGGTATTTATTAAGTATAATTTAAACTAATAAGATGTATAGCATTGTAAATCAATATAAGTACATTTGTTTGTTTGTTTCATTTTACGCCTTTTCCCAACAGTATTTCAGTCATATAGGCGGGTAGTTTCCTAACCATCGTTCCTGGAGAGTTACACCAGTACTAGACTACCTTCCTGCGATATAAGTACATACCTTATTAAGTTTAGAAGCTCCAATTGGATCTTTCTCCTTTTTGTTTGTCATCCCTAAAGCTTGGGACAGTGTCAGCTCAAACATATTCTGTAAAATTGTAATCACCATAGATTAATTTCAACAGTACATTGTGAAATTCTGACTTAAAACTTCTGATGTACTAAGTCATGAAATTTGGCAATACTAAATGTGCTTTTCAATTCTATAATCAGAAACTTAAAATAGCACAAATATGATGTAAAATAGTTCTTAAAAGTAGAATGTACATTCAGGAAAAGAGGTGTCCAAATAAAATCTAAACTTCAACAATATTTTTTTGTACATTAAAAAAGACAGAATATGAAATTACTCCAGTTATACTGGCTAATACTGACAAGAACAGTATTTCTTTGGCTGTAAAATCTGTTTGATAAAAAAACTGTCTTACCTCAGTAGCTCCTAGCTCATTCTTGTTGATAAGCTGAGCAAATGCTATAGGATCATCTGCCTGTACTTTAACCACCTTCTTCTCAGCAGCCTACAAACAACGAAATATCATATAAATGAAATGAAATTTGGTACAAAACAACGTTTCTATTGCAGGCATAGGCAGTTAAACATCAAGATTTATAAAATCTATATACACAATTATATAGATTTTCCTCATTAAATTCATTTATATAGTACTAATTACATTTAATCTGTTATGACAGTTTCTAATACAGAATTTGTTTAGAAAACAACAACATAATGCACCAACCTGCAGAGCCTCTTTCTCCTCGGCCATTTTGGCTTGCAGCATTAGTGAGAGAGAGTTACGTGAGGCTGTGTTAAATATATCGGTCATCAGAGCACTCTGCTCCGAGAGTACACGTAAACACGTCGCTATACGATCTACATCATCATCAGTGATTGGCTAAAACAATTATACAAATATTATTATCAAACCCACAAACTCATCGCAACATAGTTGCATAATGAACTTTTTGTAAGCTTGCAATATTTTCCTCATTTCTTGATTTTAATTTGAAGCATTAAGTAAAGTGTTTGGTTTTAAGGAACACCTTTAACAGTTTTATTGCTGGAAGATGTCAAGTGCTCTATGTATATTACTGTAAAATCATTATTATTCGTGGGGCACGAATTTTCGTGGTTTTCGTTGGTAGGTCAATCCAGGAATTTAAGATCCGACAAAATTTTATCACAATACTTACTTCCAACCATGTCTCTATTCTATACATGCGTCGCAGCTTTTCCGGTCGATTATTGTGTTATGATGGTATACAGATAATCAGGTTAGTGACAGATTAAATCTATAAATAATTTAGGTTTGCAATATTTAAGAAACTTGAAAGCAAAGTCGATTATATGTCCTGAATTTCCGTCGTATATACACATCACTGAGACTGCTTAATTGTTGTAGGCTACTTGATTGTGTTATCCAGAATACTTGACATAATCGAGTAAAAATGGGGTAACCAGTGCAATCATTAGCGCTAATATAAATTGTCAGTTTGCTCTTATTTATTGTTAATAGAATTAAAGAAATCTTTGATATTAATGTCGTAAGTTAAACACAAAAAATAATAAACAATCACTAAAACAGATGAATTGTACATCCTTTTGTCGTCTTTAAATGATCCAGTTTAAATGAATTTTAATCTGTATTTGTGCGACTGCTATGTAAAATGATTATTTACCTTATTTATATTATTTATCAATTCTGTGTTTATTCAATATTTATTACATTAATATAATTATATATGTATTCATATGTTTGTCAGTCATACATTGATGTACATGTAATGATTTATGTACTTTTTGTAAGAACTGTATTGTATATGTATGTACTCTTCAAAACTGGAGGCAATAAAGAAATATATAAATAAATATATATACAGTAGAACTTTGGTAAGTCGAAGTTGAAGGGACTTGCGTAAAAACTTCAGACACATCGGGACTTCGACTCATGAATCGCACTCAATTCCATGACAAAATTTCGACCCGTGACTAGTCTATAACGAAACCTATTTCATGTTTTTTCCATCATTGATCTGATATTCACATTTTACAATGATAAATATAGCATGTTAAATAACGTTTTTCACGGCTAATTATTTGGACTACCCGTTGACGTATACAAAAGAGTTACAAAAGGCGTAACAATACGAAAGGGCGATAACTTAACCAACTTATAGTATATATTTCGCGTGTTATTCTCACGCGACACCGGGTCAAGGATGAAAGTAGTTCTTACTGTTTACTTTCAAATACCACTACGGCAATTAAAATAGTAACGATTAAAGCATTTTATCACACATTTTATCGCAAACAAAGGCTGTTTGAACACACGGCTGTGTAATTAACACCCGACACACAAGTTGATTGGAAATCGTCTTCGCAGCCAGATAAGGTGTGAAAAATGTCTCGAGATCGACGGTGTCAAAAAAATCGAACAACTTCGACTTATTTGTGGTAAATTGCACTAGATTTACTTAACACGGACCACGAAAAAACTTCGACACATCGAAAAATTCGACACATAAAATCTCGACTCATAAATAGGTTTTTATAAGGAATATATAGGGGGAAAAGTCGGGACTTTAATTTTTCTTCGACACATCGAGAAAATCGACTAATCGAAGTTCGACTCATAGAAATTCTACTGTATATATATATATCAAAGATGCTGCCGACTTCTTAATTATTTCCGCACAATCTTGTATTATTTACTCATATTAATTTATATGCATTGTTGATGTGATGTTGCGTGTAGTTACTGTCAAATATAGTAAGACCGATTCAGGGTGTAAACTTTTTAAACTCGCTTGTTAAGACGTGTCAGAGGTCGTATAAATTATGCAATGTTTACATCGGCGTATCACATGGGGCAGTGTGTACAATGGAGCTGCATATCATGTCATCTAAATGTGTAAATTGCAGTCAATTATCGGCAGTAACTGCTATCTTTATGTTATGCCTAGAGGCAAGGATTAGATTATTGACAAGCACTGTGTGATACGTAAAGATATGTTCATGCGGTAAGTAAAAATGTGCGGCGATTAATTTATAAGATTACTTTTCATTAGGTTATTTATTTTTTTACAATAAAATGAAAATCCACGAATTTAAGAACCCACGAAAAGGCCCGTTTTGATAAAACCACGAAATTCCATGCCCACGAATATAAGTGAATTTGCAGTATTGGTACCCAAGTAAAACCACCAACCTTCCATATGCTAGCTCAATAAATTCCTTATATATAACCTAAAAATTTGCATTACATAAATAGGCACTATTGTGCCAAATTAATGCAAAAGAAAATTTGTCACTAAAGGCTGGATTCAATTAATTCCATTATTACCAATTTTAAGGTAAGCTTATGTTTTATAGCAATTTTGGAAAGAACTTGATTAACTGTTGCTTTGTTACTGAAAATATTAGTTTTTCTTTAATCTTAATTTTTCTCTGTAAAATTCTTACACTGATTGTTTTTAAAACATGCTCAACATAAATGTTTGTTATGTTTGTAATGTATTAATAGTAAATAACATATATACCTTTGTGGGTATACCAGACTTGCCAAGATGTAGAACAGTGGCCATGATGAACATAGATTCAGCCAGAAAAGCCTGAAATAAAAGTAATAGTATGCTGAATCATATATAGGTGGGAATATATTGCTCTTACAATGTCAGATAATGGATGCAGAAAAAAACAGTTTACGTTGTGAAAATACTCGACTGTACCTTTAACTCTTGTGAATAATGAATTTAAGATCATCACTCACATCAAAGTAATTAATTTACCTCTTTCCTTTATCAACATAAGTCTTTTTTATTTTCAAATCTCTGTATGGTAAAAATTTAGAAACAAAGCATTTGTTCACTTTTTGAAAATAAGTTTGTTTTTAAGTATCAAAGCAAAGTTTTTCAGGAATGTGCTGCTATTTGTGGCATAGAAAGTATAAAATACTTACATTTTGCCTTTTAGGGTCTGTATGAATTGTCATGTATCTAAGGGCAAGTTTTGTAAGTGATGTTGCCAGGGCAGCACCCACAAAAAAATCTCCATCCAGCAAAAACTGACGCAGTGGAGGACTGTAACAGAATCAATGTGTGAAAAATAAAATATTATTTCTATACTTAAATAAGATTGTCATTTTCTCATTTTTTTTAAAAGAAAAATTCAGAACAAAAATACAGTTAAAAGGAACCTACCTATATATCAAACTAGCTTATTTGATTAAATAAAAAATACATTCAATTTTGTTGCAGTTTTACAAAAGTGTCTCCTTAATAATGAAGCAACCTACCATAAAATTAGTAATGTAAAAGAGAGTAAAATATTTCATGGAATTATAAACACAAGCTAAAGTAAAAACTTAAGTTTTCCACATACTTCTCTTCCTTTTTCCTTGTAGAGACTGTACTAAATGCACTTTGTGTAGCATATGTGCCGTCTGCTGTAACTAATCTTTGTATATTTCCTCCAGACATTGTATCTATAAAACAAACAACACTGTACTATCTGTTTTATAACACCTTACACATTTTTGACTTGAAGTAGTTAATAATTAAGGCCATTTTGTTTAAGACCTGTTGGCGGACTAAATAAAAAGTTTTTACTGTTTATAATGTATATTAAGCTTTACCAACAGATACTTCCATTAAAATCTAAATATTATTTTTTAAATTATTTAGTTATTAATCTTTAACATGACACATTCAAAATTTGCCAGTAAGCATAAATCACAACCATACATGTACTATCAAAATGGAAGAATATATACACTCACATAAATTCATGTTTGTTAACCCATACATTTATTATTTTCATATAGGAAAATAAACTTGTTCTACCACCAGACTTACCATCTTCTGATACTTCTCCAGCAGCTTTCTTCAGTTCATCATCAACAATAGGAATCTGTAAACAACAAACATCAAATAAAATACACCAGTTTAGGTTTACACTTGATACATCCATAGTATAACAATAAGATAAGCAAACATAAAGAAATGCTAATTTTCAAAGTAGTTATACACAACTATTGCGAGCTTGTAGCCTTCACCAAAAACCTTCAATCAAGTTAAAAGTCCTTTTCAAACAAGTTAAACACAGGAAAAACATTTCACAATACATCTTAAGTTGTTAGGTTTTAATCTGAGACAAGGTCAGTTTAAAGCTATTTGTTAGCCCTTTCTGCATCAAGTGATATTTATGTGAACAATTTGACAAGCCCTTGTGGAAAATAACTGGAAAGTGCTCTAAATGAATCCTAGAATAATGCTAGTGACTGCACCAAGTACCTACCTGAAAATGTTTCAAACCGACATAGGAGCTAGACACAAGCTTCTAAAATACTTCCAGTTAAGTGATTCAAACATATAATGAGACACATTTTCTGTGATAAGCAAGATAATGATAATTTGGTGAAATATAAAACAAGTTTACCTCTCCTAGAGATTGTCTAACTAGAGTCATTACACCCTGGATATCCTCTGATGTTGTACAATATTCTCCTAGAATCCACAAGGCAGCTCTTTGTATCCTTTAATACAAAATTTAACAATTGATAATTATCAATCTTATTACTGTATTCCTAGAAAAGATTTCGCGCATTTTAAGTTAGCGGTTTTCGCGATAGGCATGATTCCGCGAATCTTTATAGCCGCGAATATGTCACTTATAACAAATCCGCGAACATTTCTAGCTTCAGCCAAATATAACATAAAAAGTGCAGAATATTTACTATAATCTACTTACACAAAAAACAACATATAAACACAGAAGCTATAGAAATGTGTAAAGAATCATTTATGTATGTTATTGATACTAGTTTGCACGCTGAAAAACAAAATATCAATTATTAGTAATTATCATGCTTATTGACGTTATTTGCTAGTCACAGCGTTGACAAACGCATTTACAGTTTGCGAACATTGAATGACTTGGATTTTATTTGCTTGGAGTAGGTGTTATCCTTTGTTAAAAGTACAAAAGCGATAAAGTGCTACATTGATAAACAGCTGTTATGTTGTTATAATGAAAGCGATGTACAGTCCGATAATGTGCAAAAAAAATGTATCGACATTTTGAAGATAAAGTCAGTTAGGATACAAATGAGAATAAAAGCTAACGGGTCTGACTAAATCTTACTTAATAACATAATGAAAAAAAGGTAAGGAAATATGAAAGTGTTCACGGAACAACCGTCCTTGTTCAACTAGTCAATAGATGAAAATGAATCGAGTAACGTTGCGCTTTAGGCGCGACTTGTCAAAAAAATAAAATAATTAAAAGCACCCAACAGGCAAGGTCATGCATCAAAAACGTAGCCTCTAAAAGCTGTAATTTAGACCGTAGCGACTTAACATTCGCGGAATTCGCGGTTACTACATATCCGCGAAAGTTTGTCTCCGCGAAAATGCCGACGTTGTGAAAAACGCGAAATATTGTATCCGCGAACATTTCTAGGAATACAGTATTACATATTATCTACATAATTCCAACACATAGGTTTCACATTTTTAAAATTTATTACATCACCAACAATATCATGAAATGGTTCAGGTGATGGCTATTCATTCCCTAAAATGAGAGAGTGTAAAGTCGAGGTAAAGTATTATTCCCTGTCACTACATTACTTCCTATTTGATCTTAATAGCAAAGATGCTAACATGATCAATTTTCCCAAACATTACATATGTACTACACCACAAACATAAAGTAACAAGTTTCAGAATGTCTACTCACTTCATAGCCTTTATAGTAGAGAACACATCCAGTAGTTTGCTGATGATAAGGCTCCTGAGAGACTCAAACCTGTGTATCGCCTCACGGATAAACACGAGCACATCAGCGGCTGCTGCCTCATTACTGTCACCAAGGAATTCTATCAACTGAAAAATAAACAAATATCTTTATTACGTGAAGTTTAAAATTCAAACAATGGATATATATCAAAATTACTCTTTTCTCAACACTCATTCAGATATAAACATCAAAGAAGTAGTTAACAAGAAAATATTCCAGTAACAATTCCAATTTATATAACACAAGGTTTACATACTAGTTATTCTTGTTGTATTTATGGATTTTATTGTTCTTAACAACAGCAAAATTTATGAAGTTAACATCTGAATTAAACTGTTCATTACAAAATACTTTAAGAGCTGAATGTAAAATCACAATGATGCCAAATAGGCAAAATGGGGACATTCCAACATCATATAACTTAAAGGAACGTGAAGGCACCAGTATTAAACACTAGACTGTCTACAAGCATTTATACATCAGACTAATAAACATTTTAGTTCTAACAAGGCAATGGATTTGAATTCATCAAAGTCTCTCAAATAAACATACAATAATACTGAAATTTCTTACCACAGGTATGATAGTTGTAGCAATGTCTGGGAACTTGATGGAGAGTTGATGAAGAGTTCTGACCAGTAACTGCCTGTACTTCCCTGTATCCTCGTGCTCTACATTGTTTGTTTTCACCACTTCTTTTTTCAACACTAGCACCATCTGTAATCAGTTTTCAACATGTAATTATTTGAAATTATTCACAACCCGCTTATTGAACTTTATATTAATTTCTGATTGCATTTAAAATAACAAAGAGAATCTCTTTAAACAAAACTATCATGAAAAATCAAAAATCTATAAGTCTATTACATAGACTGCCTTCTCTTAGATCTGTTTCAAATTAAATGTCCTCACTTTTGTTGGTCCGACCAATGGCAAGCATTTCATATTGAAGATGTTCGAACAGCCAAAGACTAAATAGTAACACAGATGTTTTAATCAGTCCTTGACTTGAGAGACTTGAGTGGATCTTGAACTGTTGTAATGAATTATTATGATACTTGGTGAAACTAAATTTTTCTCATAAACCAAGTGGATCTAGTAATGATCTCATGTATTTGCTCAATAACAGAAACAAGAGGGCCATGATGGCCCTGAGGTCGCTCACCTGTATATAGGCCCCCCCCCCCCCAATGTTGCAGGGCCAATTTAACCGAAGGGCTTTTATTTGCACAAACTTGGTAGACACCCATAAGAAGATGTTTCATGCTAAACATCTAAGCTCTAGCTCATTGGGCTTTTTAAAAGAAGATTTTTTTAAAGTTTTTACTATACACATATAGTTAAAAACAATGACACCCCTGGGGCCGGGCCAGTTTTGACCCCAGGGCTTTTATTTGAACAAACTTTGTAGACACTTACTAGAAGATGTTTCATGCTTAATATCTAAACTCTAGCTATTTGAGTTTTTTCAAAGAAGATTTTAAGTTTTTGCTATACACATATAAAGAAAATCAATGACCCCCGGGGCGGGGCCAATTTTGACCCCAGGTCTTTTATTTAAACAAACTTTGTAGACACTCACTAAAAGATGTTTCATGCTTAATATCTTAACTCTAGCTATTTGGGTTTTTTTCAAAGAAGATTTTTTAAGTTTTTGCTATACACATATAAGGAAAATCAATGACCCCCGGGGCGGTGCCAAATTTGACCCCAGGGCTTTTATTTGAACAAACTTGGTAGACACCTATTAGAACATGTTTGACGCTAAATATCTTAGCCATAGCTCTTTGAGTTCTTTAAAAGAAGATTTTTTTAAGTTTTTACTATATGCATATAGGGAAAATCAATGACCCCCCGGGGCGGGGCCAATTTAGACCCCAGGGCTTTTATTTGAACAAACTTGGTAGACACTTATTAGAACATGTTTCATGCTCAATATCTTAGCCATAGCTCTTTGAGTTCTTTAAAAGAAGATTTTTTAAGTTTTTACTATATGCATATAGGGAAAATCAATGACCCCCCCCGGGGCGGGGCCAATTTTGACCCCAGGGCTTTTATTTGAACAAACTTGGTAGACACCCATTAGAACATGTTTCATGTTAAATATCTTAGCTCTAGCTCTTTGGGTTCTTTAAAAGAAGATTTTTTAAGTTTTTACTATATGCATATAGGGAAAATCAATGACCCCCCAGGGCGGGGCCAATTTTGACCCCAGGGCTCTTATTTGAACAAACTTGGTAGACACTCACTAGATGATGTTTCATGCCAAATATCTAAGCTCTAGCTCTTATGGTTTTTTAAAAGAAGATATTTAAAGTTTTTTCTATCGGTTGCCATGGCAACCAGAGTTCTGCATGGAATTAAATTCTTTGAACAATTTTTAAAGGTGACCACCAAAGGAACATTCCTGTGAAGTTTGGATGAAATTGGCTTAGTGGTTTATGAGGAGATGTCATTTAAAGAAAAAGTTTACGGACGCCGGCCGGCCGGACGGACGCCGGACGAAAAAGCGATCACAAAAGCTCACCCTGTCACTTTGTAACAGGTGAGCTAAAAATTCAAAGTATTAAAAAAGATGAAAAATTATAGTTTACCTCTTCCACACTCCTTGATGTCACAAGATCTAGAGCTAGATTCAATGTCTTCTTTCTCACCTCTTGATCTGGAGAGTTCAAAACTCTCAATATGTCCATAACAAGTTCCTGTAATATGTAAACAACATATTGCATCAATCTGAAAGTGATCTCAAATCTTGTTTCCTAATAAACATTTTAGTTCTAACAAGGTAAATAGACAATACCTTGAATTTTACATTGTCTGACAGTTATAATTATGAAAGAAGTATTGAACTTAATTTTAAACAAGAATTTTGCAATGATTTGTAATTTACTGGTGAAAACAAAGTGACACTATACCTGTAAGACTTTCTCATGGGCAGGAACCTCTTTCAAGGCCACAAGTCTGTCTAAGACAATCAGTTTAACATTGTTATCACTCTCTTTCACAACTAGCTCAATGTAACAACTTGCAGCAGCCTGTAATAAACACACAGTTTCAACCATATACCAAATACATTCAACAGTTATGTACATATTCCAATACAATCTACAAACAGTTTCATATAAACTCTCATACATTTACCTAATTAAACAGTTTCAAAATAATTTTACAGAAATTTTCACCATTTTCTACAAATTAATATATAGGCTAGATATTGATGTTGTTGTAAAACACTGACAAGTCTGTTAAAATAATTATTTACTTTTCATTGCACGTTAAGAACTGGATTTAATTATCAATGCTTACATAATACATTCTAAAGGTAAATAACTTTGTACAAAAAAGTTATCAAAAGTATAAGCAGTTACCTTGATGGCAGTGGGTGCACTAGACAGTGTCACAAGGGTTCCAGCAGCCTCATACCTTACAGCAGGACTTGATGAGTTTAACAGATTATAAATACATCTAATGAAACGTGCACGCTCTGATGGATTGGCATGACAAACCTACATGTACAAAACAATCAAATCAGCATCATGATACACCTGTATATCATGTTATCAACAACCTGTAAGGTCTATATTTATAACAATCCTAAGATATTTTGAAAAGAATCCTAACCTTATGAAAATTTACATAATTTTGGAAGATATTATTTTGGAATTGATTCAAAATACTTGTGAACATATCATTTTTTCTCTGTATAGAAATTTTTTATAATTATAAAAAATGTTGACAATCAAACCTTTTTAAACTACCTAAAAAGTTTGAAAATTGCCAATTTAAACCAACAAGGCAGAGGGTTCTTTCATCAGCATTTTAAAAGGTCTAAAATGTTAAGACTTTCAATATAAAAATGCTACATATTTGATTTCTTTCCTCTCTGTTAAATATGTACCTATTGTAAAGGTTGTTTTTTTTCTTCATATAAATGAACATCACCACCTACAGATGACTGGAGTTTTAACAGAAACATCAGCCAGATTAATAACTATAATTTTGCTAAAATGGCTGGAAAAATGAAATCTTGGCATCTTAAGACAATATCTAAATTTCTAAGCTTATGATATTGATGCTTACAGGCTCAGATAAGGTTATGATTTACAAATGTTACAGCTACATACCTTGTAAATAAGTTCTACAATTACAAGTTGTAGAATGTCTCCAAATGATGTCACTTGATCTATACAGCTACTTAGGTAATTCAAAGCTCTTTCCTGAAAGTAAATTAGCAGAACCTTTCAAGTTTAACCAATCATATTATATGTAACTTATACTGTAATATCTTAAGACTTAACATATTTCTAGACTATAAAATAGAAGTGGTGTTGGTTGATTGAATTATATTAAAGTTTCGGTAGACTTAAATCATTCAACACAAAACTTGTACAATAATCTTGTTTATGAAAATGCTAGGACAAACTTGCCAAGGACCATTGATATGTATAATTATGTATATACTTGGTCTGCATGTTTTAAGTCACACCAAACTGGATGTTATATGGTTTATTCCTGCTTTACTGATAAAAGAAACTCCTTAAGTGCCCCTTCATTCACTTTTAAAGCAAGATTGGACACCTGTGTAGAGCCACCAACTTTCTGAAATCTACCTGGATAGTTTCTTACATGAAAGAGTCAAAAGTCCCCATCAGGATTTGAAGGTAAGGGCCATGTGATTCTTTATCAGTGACTTACACATTTGGTTACACTGGCCCTTTTGACTTCTTCTAGAGAATGTAAAATGGACAAAATTGACCATTGATATATATATACAATCATGAATATACCTGGTCTGCATGTATCAGCATCATAAAAGCATTTCTTTTACAAGACATATCTTGCTCTCCCTCCAAATATTCAGCTATCAATTCTGGTGCATCAGGGATGAGGAAGTCAAAGTTCCTGAAATATTTAACACATACAGCTAGTTCTTCTCAAAATTTCACTTAACAAAATCATAAGCATGCCCTTGTAAAATCAGATGCCTACATTTGTATAGATTCATCAATGACATTAAGATGTCACCTATAGACATAAACAATGCCAGAGATCGAAAATTTCACTCGTTCACTCGTAATTACGAGTAGAATTTAAGAGAACTTGATGCAGGACGAGTATAAAAATGTTGCTAGCACATTGGATTTAGAAACTACTGGTCCTGCACAACGAGTGACTCTGAAAATATTTTTCAATGCCTGAATGCTTTCATATTTTTAATGGATTGAAAAAAAACTTGCAAAATCAATAACTTGTATAGACATTATACGGAATGTTTAAAAGAAATTTCATCACATTCATAAGTCAAAACTTATTTTTACTTCTACAATTGACATTTTAAAATTGAAATTATCATTACTCTGTGAAATTTTGACACTTAATCCAGTCACTCCTTATCCAGATACAGTTCTGCCTCAATCTACATAACAAAGTTTATGACAAATGTGTCTAGGCATAAAAAAATTGTACCGTTATTCTATTTGTAGCTGCTAGACTAGCTTAAAGTTATTTCATGACACTTACTAGTATAAGAAAACAATATAATTTTGAATTTATTTTAGGCTATGCCTCTATCCTAATAATTAGACAAATTAGCAAGATGTCAATGGCATTTATATATGTACATACCTGTAAATGGTATATATGGCTAATACTGAATTCCTTCGCACATAAGAATGTCTGTGTTTCAAACATTGTCTAATAGCTGGCATGAGGGGCTCTAGAAGTTCTGGTTCTTTCAGTTTACACAGAAATCTCAGAGTGGACCCTTGGATAAACTCATTTGGATGTTGCAAGTCCTAAAATATCATACATATACATAATGTAGTAAAATTTTATCATTACTCATATTGTTTAACATAAAAGTGCACAGTAAAGTCAAATATTTTGCCTCTTTCCAGATCATATTTATGGAGGAAGAATACCCAGACATTTCTTCTTGCATTATTTCAGTTATGGCCTTCAAGCAGACCTATCAATCTTCTAAATAAAGAGCAACATATGAACATATTAAGTTCATAAACTAAAACTTTTTCTATTTACTTTAAGCTTTATATAATTACAAGTTCTAATTCATTGATCATACATTTTACACAAACTTACCTTTCTGTATGCATCACAGACAAGGATGAACTCGTGTAACATTTTCCCGTCAGGTGTGTACTTTGGTACCACCTCCCAGAATATCAGCAGCAACTTCTTAATCATGTGATCCTGCATCGGCATCACAAAGCGGATAATTGTCATAAGTAATGATGGCATCTTCTCTCCATTTAGAATCATCTGTATCGTCTTCTTTAAAGCTTCTGTTTTAGTCTTCACATCACCCTTCTCTGTATAGTGTAAAATTAAGCTTTTCTTAAAACTATTTGTAATTCAGTAACATAATAAATATAAATATACACAAGTCTGAAAAATGTCAAATTGTTATAATGTTACTTCCTTGCTTCAGTGACTGAAAGTCTATGTTGTAAATACATGTAACCTTATCTAAAGCAGACCCGTTAAGTAAGAAAGATTTCCCCATCTTAAATAATAAATCCTATAATTAACAATGTCAAAATTGTTGAGATATTTAAGTTTGTTATAGAAATACCTGTATAATAGTCCTTAAAGATGTATAAATGTGAACTATAAAATAAATGTGTCTTCCATTCCAGGCAGTGCAGTACTAGTATTTCTATAAAATATAGCTAGATTAGATGCTGACAAAAACCAGACTTTCATCATTTTTCAACAACCAATCTGATTATCATATAAATATAGGCTTTTACCAAGGTCTGTACGAAGTTGCATCTCAGTTGGTGGCTCCGCATCAGTGGGTATATTGATCAGTGTATAACATGGCTGTTCTGCCAATGTCGCCATCTTGTCTTCTTTTCTTTGCTATAATAAAGTAATATCAAGTTTTAATAAAAAACTTAATGCAACATAATTATACAGGGACTTTTTAATGATCTCAGGTTAAAATGAATAACTTAACAAGAAGCACACGAAATTGGTGTTCATTCTAATAACAATTAAAACATTACAAATACATAAACCTTATTAAGTGTAATGTAAAAATATGGACCTTAAAACAATACATTTAGTTATACTTTTCAACAAACAGACACAGCATATTTTGGATGGTGAGTTTTTTTATGTAACATGTGTTTAATATGTGTATAATAATATGTCATTTTATCAATTTTACTGCTAGATTTTGTTTGTTTGTTTGTTTCATTTTACGCCTTTTTCCAACAGTATTTCAGTCATATAGGCGGGTAGTTTCCTAACCATCGTTCCTGGAGAGTTACACCAGTACTAGACTACCTTCCTCAGCACTAAACAGTACCAAAGCATCTCCCGGGGATTGAATTCACTAGATCCTTTTCAAAGTGAATGCTTACTTTTTTGTAAGAAAAATAATTGATTTTATATATGAAACATTAGAATAGATGTAATATTCTGACCAAGACCATTAAATATATATTAATGTCAAACTGAACAGAACAAAAACAATAAAACTTCAAGAAATGTAACAAAATAGATAGTGTACAATAGATATATAAGAGTTCCTTACCAGAAAAAACAACAAATTAATATTTGAACAAAAATGTATGGCCAATTGGTTGGTACGAGGGTTGTTCAAAAAGTAATAGGACTGCAGCTCTTCTGTTCACACTTTTAAATTTACGTACAAAATTTTACATGAGACAAATATCGGAACATGTTCTCTATATACAGTGAAAAAATCAAAACTAAATGTAAACAAATGAAATTTCTGTGAAATTTTCAAATGACAAGGGGTTCGAAACGCGGCGCACGCTAACAATACAATAATTGACGTTCATGACGTCGTAAAATAAATCGAAATTGTAATAAGCGTCAATCTTTCTGAAAGTAGTCTCCCTAGTCTCTAGGTGTATGAGTCATGTAACTTTTACTTTGCCTCATATGTGGAGATGAAACAAGAAAAAAAGCGATCACATTCTCGTTCCACTGTTTCAAAAAAAAAAAAAATAAATAAATGCCCGATAGCCGGCCATTCTCCGGGTTTTCTCGTGTTTTTTGAGTAACCTTGGAACTCAATAGGACTGAAAATGTTAAAGCAAAAGCAATTTATTTTATTAATTTACTCATGTCATCGTATGTTTTTAAAACAATATGATTATATACAGAACAATAAAGATATTTCTCAATTGAAAAGTATCCTTTTCTACTTAGCACAGTCTATCGTTTATTAAAACAAGTTTTCGGAAACACTACTAATTATTACCGTTAACTATTACATTAATTCATTGATTACGCGTATATCTAGTTAAATACAATAAAATAGTGTTTATAACAAATGTCTTATTAACAATCCTTTGGTTAAAACTGAATAAGTAGACCCGTAGCAGATACAAACAACGATAAACAGTTCGCGAACCGTTTACCGTGGATTCTTTTGTAGCGCTTTTGCAATTGACGTCACTAACGTCCCGTCAATTTTCAACTTTCATCCTCGCCCTTTCTCGTTAGTGATCTTGTATTTGCAGTTTTTTAATTGCTTGTGCCAGCTGAAAACAAGTGTCCTGATGGCAGGATAATTGTCCTTTGTTTATTTAATCATTTTGTATGTATCTGAATGATAATAGTCAATCTGTTGGCAAAATTTAACGATGGCACACATTTTCTGTTTGTTAACAAATGTCATATTTCTACATCTAACGCTATGACCGCTGCTGTTCAAAACTTTATAAATAGGCCATTTCATGTCCGAATGACGTCAAATTTGGACATAATGTCACATTAATATATTTCAACGTATTGTTGGAATACAAGGGAAAAGAAATTGTTATTTATGAATAAATTAGAAGTAGATCTTAGCTCTAATAACTATATTTATGTGCTGCGCCGGGTGCGTGTTACCATGGTTATTCAATAGCAAAGGAAAAGCGCGTTTAGCACAATAGATTAAAAAACTTATGTTTAATTTGTAGAAAACATTTTACGATTGCTGAAAATATGAACATATTCTAAATTGAATGAAATTTGAATACGTAAGACTCCCAGTCCTATTACTTTTTGAACAACCCTCGTACAACATTATATTGGTATTATGAAATATATTATAATGATTTGTAGTATGATCACTTTATTTGTCCACCACAAATAAAGCTGGTAATCATCCATGATCCTAATACTGGGGAGTGAAGCTGTTAAACTCTAAACCTGCTGAATTTCTTAGTCCAGCCTTCATTTATGGAACTGTCCATTCAGGGATTTTTTAAGGATTTTGGGAGCATGACCCATACCCATGGAATTGGGAATTTCAGTGGTATTTTGTTAAAAATTGGGAAAAAATGCATGACTGAAATTTTACAGTGATTATTTATGGATACAAACAATTACTGTCAAGGATGGCATCTTCAAACATTTAAGCACTATTACAGTGAAGGAGCCCTTATTTTCAAAGATTTTAGAAATTTTATTAAATATTTTTACTTTGTAACTTTCAATTGGTACTTGTTTCCTGTGGACTGGGTTTTCAATTGGGAATATGACCCAATAACGGCTATAAAATAAGCCCAAAAAAAATCCCTGCCATTATCAATTTGGGGATATGAAGATGGAAATTTTAAGTGAGTCAGCCAACAATAATTATAGGGTCAGATTGCATGGAAGTTCAGGCTGGCCTGGCTTCAATTGATAGTAAAAAGTAAAATAATAACAACTTTCAATTCCAGCAGGGCAAGAGTTAATTTAACATACTTACCATTTCTATACTTCTAAAAACTAAAATTATTAAACAAGCAATTATCATAGTATTGCCATAGGAACTCTGGAACAGGACCGCATATTGCGGCGCATAAATCCGAATCCGTACCAGCTTTACATATTGTTTGTCCGACCTTTGAATATCTTTTTATATTATACGAGCGGATGGTCTTTAATTATCTTATCTCAATTTAATATAATCTGCTAATTTAAAAATCAGTCAAATTTACGGTATATTGAAAAAAGAAAAGGAGTGACATCCGCCATTTGCCGCAACGTTCGGCGTAAGTTATCCCCCTTGATATGCTTGATTTTTGTTTTAATTTTTCTAGTACTCTCTTGAATATTTATCTATGGATCATGTTTTAATATTCCTTTTTTCATTTAGGCAAAATCTATTAGACCATATTAGTAAAGTGTCTGTTTTCTCCATGTAAACAAATCATAACACGAATACGCCCGTTATAATGCCGACTATACATGTCAAACACTAGTGCATGTCAACACGTGTAAACAATAAACCGTTACGATACCTGATAGTTGACAACGATAACAGGAACAAAATTCTGAAAAAATAGTTATCAAGTGTAGCCAAAGGGGGAAAACTCATGCCGAACGTTGCGGCAAATGGCCGATGTCACTCCTTGTCTTTTTTTATAATACCGTAAAATTTGACCAGTTTTAAAAGTAACAGATTGGGTTCAAGTGATAATATATTGTTTGAGGCCATATGCTCGGATAATACTTAAAGATATTTAGATGTTGCAGAAACGTTTTTTAAAAACCGTTACACGATCAAAAATATGCGCCGCAATCTGCGGTCCCGTTCTCGAGTTCCTAGGAGTATTGCAAGAAATCCATAAGTCCCCTTCCAGTTAGAACCCCATCAACATTCTGAAGGGCCATTGGCCATTCACTTAAGTTTGAAGTTTGAAAATAAATACCTTAAGAAATAAAGAACTTTTAGTGAAAAGGCCTAAAAACTAGAATCAGAAATCTTGACTAGATTGCCAACGTTTGTTAAGTATGACAGCTCTCAATATATAATCCCTATATTCAAGATTAAAATGATGTGTATAATTTCCATTCTACCATCTATCCATATTTTAAGTTTCATAAAAATTTTCAGCTTTTTTTGACTAAACACAAATATTGTTATATTTGCCATGTTTAAAGCCTATTTGTTGCCATGGCAACCATTTTTTTTTTCAAAATAGGTGAAAAGAAAAAGACATGCATAATCTCCATACTGCCATCTACCCATATTTCAAATTTCATAAAAATATTTTCAGTACTTTTTGCATTATCACTAGATCCAGTTTATGTGTTAAATTTGCCATATTTTCAGTCTATTTGTTGCCATAGCAACCAGAATTTTCAACATAGGAAAAAAAGAAAAAGACATGCATAATCTCCATACTGCCATCTATCCATATATTATATCAAGTTTCATAAAAATATTTTCAGTACTTTTGGCGTTATCACTGGATCCAGTATTTGTGTAAAATTTGCCATATTTTAAGTCTATTTCTTGCCATAGCAACCAGAATTTTCAACATAGGAAAAAAAGAAAAAGACATGCAAAATCTCCATACTGCCAACTATCCATACATCAAGTTTCATAAAAATATTTTCAGTACTTTTGGCGTTATCGCGGGATCCAGTGTTGTGGACTGACGGATGGACAGACAGACAGAGGGTAAACCTAAAGTCCCCTCCGGTAAACCAGTAGGGGACTAATAAATGTTTAATAATTCTGGTCTTAACAAAACTGTTTAATTCAACAAATGTTTAAATCTGACATTTTATCTCTCATTATGTGATGCTTTTTTGTTTGTTTGATAATTGACGTCAGTCCTTGTGTAAATTTTATTGCCAGCTGGACATGACTTACGATAGTTCGGGCTTCCAAAACTTTATAAGCCGCTATTTAACATTTTTGTTTTTCATCTGATGTGGCATTAAAGTTTTGGATTAGACCCGTTATGAAACCTTACCAGAATAACAGAAGTTGATTTATCCTTATTTTTCACTTGCAAATACACTTGACCCAATCAATTTTTGTGCATTTTACGATAAAAAAATTATTTTAATGTCGTTCTATACCAATAAAAGTATCAAAATATTAATACCGTCATTAAAATTGAATATTTAACTGTAAAACATCAATTACGCCGGCTACAGTCGGCCATGACATTTAGGTGTCATGCGAGACCTCGTATGACGTCATTCGCAGGCACCGATTAGAATAGAGTTGTAACATCTTTGTTGACATGATTTCGATATTTTTATTCAAGATAATGTTTTTATTTATCTTCATTAATTTTTTAGTACTTTAAATATGATTTTATTGAATGCAAAAGTCAGTAAATCACCTTTTTCAATATCTTTAAAAAAGTAATTTATAAAAATATTGGAAGCACATGGGTTTGTAAAGGTCAATCTCGTAATCACGTGGTCAAACATTTTGGCAATACGGCAGCCAATTGCCGAAATTTTTATCTGTCGGAACTATTAGGTAGTTTATGTTCGTAATAAGATTTTTATTTGTCCATCATTGGCTTATCAACAGATTGCTTCACTTTACTTCATGGCATGTTCGATGAATGAATACAAGCGTGTCAGATTCCTGGCACAATTATTGGTGGACTTTCCCTCCGGGATTATCTTCAGCGTTCACGTCATGTCACTGTGATAGTATATAATTGGGTACGCTGAAGACATTAAGCTAGACATTCGATCTATAGACAGTTTGTGGTAAAATAATTTGTCTTGTCAAGATTTTATTATTAACAATTGATTATTTGCAAAAAATAATGAATTTAATTTTCAATATTCAGGTGCGGTAAAGGCGGTTCCACAATTGTGTCTCTATAAAATTATTGGTACGAATAATTCTGGAACGAATCCTTTGACAAGTCACCGGTTTACAGTTTTTGGAAACATAGGAACACCAAATTGAATCAAAATTATGCTTTAACTAAAAAATATCTGTCTTACATCTTCAAGACTTAAGATTAAAATATAATTACCAGTATCAAATGACAAGTAAAGTTAAGCCTTTCACGCTAAATTTCTGAAATATATCTGTCAGGGACGTGGCGAGATCTCGCGTATCAACGGCAGATATGAGATCACTAATCTTATTTATGCGAAACGAACTTAAATAGCGAAAATTAACCTGTAGTCTTGATCTTGCTGAAAGCATTATGCAACGAGAGTAAAAAACGTCAATGTCAGACATAAGCAGAACAAACAAACATAATTTACTATATATTTATTATTGTCATTTATAACTAGAAATTTACATCTATTAAAATAACTGAAGGCCAATAAAAATAATAGATATTTAAAAAAATAATGTAGTATTTCAATCTGCACAGTATACCACCAAGTGGAAAAACATCTTAGAATATTTTATATATTACTTAGTTATTCTTGCAGGAAAATGATACAGGTTTCTGAAATCTGAAATAAATAAATAAATAAATAAATAAATAAATAAATAAATAAATAAATAATAAATAAATAAATAAACAAATAAATAAATAAATAAATAAATAAATAAATAAATAAATAAATAAATAAATAAATAAATAAAATTTTATCCAATTTTTGTTAATAAAGATAAAAAAACATACTGACCAGTACATCGTATCCTGATATGTAAAAGAAATCAGAGGACAAACAAAAATTAAAAAGAATTTCAGGAAGAAAGAGTTAATAATCATGACTACATATGACAATCTTTTTATAAGTTATTATTTCTAAGCTTATATGCAAGACCCGTCCGGTATTCTGTCTGGAAACTGGAAAGTTCTGATTAACTTCATTTTAACCAGAATTCTGAATTTTTTCATAATTTGTTCTCAATTCAAAACTTTATTTTGTCTACAAAGTATTGATTTACTTCATTTTAATAAAAGTTCATCTATCATTTCATATTTTTTCTTTATTTTACTTGTCTGCAAATCCAAAACTATATACCGCCTGCAAAGTATTGATTTACTTCATTTTTATCAGAATAAAACTTTTCAGCAAAACTCAATCTTATTTTTCTTTTTTTGCAAACTTGGAATACGTACATAGATAGTGGATAAATAAATTCAACACTCAAATTCTTAAGTAAAGAACAATTGAAAAATTCAACCTCGCCAATCCTTTATTTCTACATTTCAAATACATGTCTTATTTAGTTTTATTGACATTTTAACCATTTTTCAATCTATCTAAAGAGGATAAAATAATATTAAAAATGTTAAAAACAGGGGCTGGAAAACTAGGGTGAGACATGTTCGATGCTATCTATGGCTGCACTGAACTACTTTGGGATAGGGAGTAGGGCAAGTGTAGGGGGTAGGTGGTTCCAGTGGAAAGAATGAGAATTTATAGTAGTACATGTATGAAGTTGCTGTGAATAATCCATAACATAAAGGACAGGTTATAAGCCTCTTGAACCTTTTTCCGCACTAGATGTTTTATGTCACAAAACTTTTACGATCAGCAGATGATCATGATTTATTAACCTTATTAAAGGTCCGGTTTTTTCTGACATATTGGTTGACCCAGGGAAGGTGATCCCTATTTGAAGTTTTTTGGATGGAATCCTTTTTTCAGGAAGAGAGTTTAGAGTATATGAGAAATTTTCCCACAACTCCTCTATATTTAGTGCAGAGTATTTTCCATTTGCTTCATAACCTGGTGGTAGTCTTTTAGTGACTGTTTAATGTTTTGACAGTTTGCTTTTTTATAAAGGCGAATCATACGAGGCTTTTGGTAACTTATCCTTGCGGAAGTCTTGACTTTCACTTCAACAATATTGTGGTTACTGATGCCTGGGAGGATATGAACCTTGTTTACTAGAGTGAGATTTTTAGTGATGAATAAATCAAGGATGTTATTTCCTCGAATAGGGAGGTTGACAATTTGGGTGAAGTTGTCATCGTTAAAAAATTTCCGATGTTTACGCTTATAGATAATACTACAAATGTATATATACATGTATTTTTACATATAGTATTCTGGAACAACCAAAATTCAATCAGTTGACTGTTTTAGCCAGTAAATAAATGGAAGGGAAAATAATGCTTTAAATTTATTTTAGCTATCAATGCTTTTATTAACATTTATTCATTTTAAGTTTGGTAGATTTTTTAACAAGTCTTGATCTTTCTTAAAAAACAATAAAAACGACATGACCCACTCGAGTCACTCCTAGGACTATTTTAACCTAAGCTCAAACAGCAGAGTAATCATCACTGAAGAATTTGTTCAAGATAAATCAGGGCTAGTAAAATTGTAGAAAATTTCACAAAAGTTTTTTCTTCAAGATTTTTAAAAACCTACATTAATGGTATAATATATGTACAATGCAATGCATTAGCATGACTACTGTTAATGTGTATAAAAGGGGCAGTTAAAGATGTCACTTCTTAGTACGCTATTTGGGTTGCAAAATGATAAATGAATCCAATCATTACAGCCATTTTACCTTCCCCACTTTATAATATTACCAAATAAGGAATCTTGTCTAGATATGCCAGGTGGTATCGCTTACAAAAATTTATTCTACAACCATCACATGAATTAAACTTGATAACAATTTAAGATTTGATTTTAGGACCCCAACGTAAAGTCTGATAAATATTTAGTGGCAAATGGTAAAACTATATAAACAATACTTTATAAAAAAATTAATTGCTTGCATTTATTTACCCCTATTCTAAACAAGTGACTATTTTGATATAGTTAAAGTTGGAAAATTTACATTGTTTCATATAAAACGAACAGTTTCTTGTTTTTCTGATAACAACTGACAGTTAATCAAGAATAGCTTTTCTGCAGGAGTGGAAGTTAACACAACGTGTGACTTTATGCAATTTAGACATGACATCAGCGTTGCAGAATTAAGAACGTTTTTGAATTTAGGTTGTGACTGAACATTGGTTGTTTCGGGATTATTATTAAATTAGCGTATATAGGTAAATTGATTTACCGGCGGCACGAAATACCCAAATATACCAAAATACACCCAAATATACCCAAATATTTCCCATATATACGCAAATATAGCAATATTCATTTTTGTTTGTATAAAATACAGATTATAATGAAAAAATGAATTAATATTTATAACATAGTATGACTTAGGCGGCTGTAACTTTCATTCAGATGTTGTAAGAAAATAAACTTGTGACATAAATTTGCTTATCTACTCGATCAGTACAGTAGATTCATTAATGAATATACTTGCAATTTAAGATAAAGATATGATAATATTTGTTGTCTACATTTATTTATTTATTTTTTATTTTTTGGTATAACTTTGTTCAAATTTCATACAAGTGTCCATCGTATTTTTTTTAAATTTTATATAGCTTTAATGGTGTAGGCCCTGTACTATTTTTGGTTCTAGTCCAACTAATTGTACTACACGACGAGATACACGGCAATATCTCGCCCAGAACGAAAAATCTCAGAATAAAGCTTTGACACTTCAATATATTTTGACTAATTTTGGTTCAAAACACAGCACTTGATACATGTAGGAAAATGTATATTTGTGTATGTTTGATTTAATCTTAGTGAATGTGTATATTGTAATATAAATCCGTGTTCAAAATATAAACAGCATTTTTTTTGTATAAAACATTTACTTTTAGTATATTTGGACAATATTTGTGTATAATTGGACAATGTGTGTGTATATTTGGGCAATATTTGGGTGTATTTGGGTATATTTGGGTATTTCGTGCTGGTAAATTGATAGTGTCTAGTGTCTGTGAGTTTTTGTAAACATATACATGTTTGAAAACATGTAAACTTATTGAAAAAAATTTATGTATTATTGTTTGCAAAATCTAAAACTAATTTCGTCTGCAAAATCCTTCTTTGCGAAGTATAAATACCTCTTTTCGGATAAAATAAACTTTTCGTTTTATTAAAGCGCATGACAGTCAAATAGAAAGTAGAAACATAGATAACACAATATATTTTGTCTGTATTTCAAAGATCCCATCGTAACGAAATGGATGCTGATGGGCTTCCACTTGTTGGGCCAGGCGTAGACTACACAAAGGTACATCATTAAGTAACATACAGATTTGGTCACGCCCATTATTTGATTGAAAGAAGTTCGTCCTTAAACTATGTCGTACCTTTCTTTGCTAAAAGTGAAAATGCCATTGTTTAAGAAATTTGTATTTTTTTTAAGTTCCCGGGAGTTTTAAAATTGATTTTACATTATAATAAAGCTTATTAATATACGCCCCTGTTTTTGTTTTGAATCACAAATAAATAAAATTTAAAAGGGGCAGCATATTTTTAAAATTATCTTTTTTAGAACTGAGTATAGGACAAGATTTTTATGATTGATCCATAATTTAAGCATTAAAATTGAATTTTGTGACAATAAATGTTATAATATTTAACACTGTTAATGTTGTCTGGTATAATTTATTTGATTTTCCCATTTGATTTAATACAGAACAGGAGAGAACATGGTGTTAAACAATGAAATATATGATAAAATAAAAAGTAATAACCAGTAACATATAATTATGGGCCGAGTTGACCCTAGTCAAAATATATTGACGTGACAAAGCTTGATTCTGAGATATTTTCGTTCTGGGGCAGAATCTCGCTTTAACGTCAAAACCAAAAGGAGACCTTTCTGTGGTGAAACGTGGATTTCGATGTTAATGTAAAAATGCAGACAATTTAAACTAAGAATCTATTCAACAATACAATTTTAAGGAATCAACAGCACAAAAAGTGCTAGACTATCAACTTAGAAGTAAGTAAACCACGTTAGTTTCATTTCACCGTCTCGTTTGTGTACCAACGCCGCCATATTGTGATGTTGCTACAGTAATGTAACATGTACGCTAAAAATCGATATTGTTCGGTACCGCGCGTGAATGTTGTCATTTTTTTTTGCGTGACAAAAAAAATATGAAAAACTGTTAAACAGTGCTTATTATTCTTTAATGTTGTTATTATTAATTATATTAATTGCTACATTAAAATAAAGCGCCAGGAAATAATCTTTAACTATTTTTTCTAATTGATTGAAATCTTTCAAATGATGCGGAGAAACTTTTAATTTAGACCTCTTTTTTATAAACATGTTTGTTAAAGGATAAACAAATACTGTATTTCATTAAAATTTATATTGTCACCACTCTGTAGTATTATCTATGTTAGAATAATTATGTTAGTTACAACGTATTAAAATCAGCAACTCCTTGCCTAGAAAGATTTGTTTTACAAACGTGCATTACGCTATGAAAGATTTTTTGAATTCAAATGGTAAATTCTTGCGTTAATTTTTCATTCCTCAACAGTTTTCAGAAAAGTAAAACTCTTTACGCCGAGCGCCCATTTTTCGTTTGTCTGCGTGTACATGTACCATTTATCCTTGTAATAAAAGACTATAATCATAGCATATGCCGTAATGGCCTGGATATTTGGGTGTTGTTTAAGCGATGTTCCAGAAAAGTTTTTGTTCCGGTATAGAAAATATCCAACCATGTATTTATTTTTGAAACGTTACGTGTCAACTATTCCACAACGCCGACACCGGTACGCTGACCAATATACACTTCGGAAATGTTGACACTGCGCAGTTCTGTTTCTTCCTTACTTAAATTCTTTGTGTCAACTTAACACTTATAAGATTAAGTTTTGGATAAATTTGATTTAAAGAAAATTATTTAAATTGGAGCCGTGATTCCTATCCGGAATCAGTTAAACAATTTTCCAAATTGTAAAGAAAAGTTATTTTTAGATTGTAATTACATGTATTTAATTTTCAATTTATAATTATAAATATACTTGATGATTCATTTTAAAGACGATAATCTTATGCTTAAATTTCTTTCTATAATTCATTTATGAAAATTGTTTAAACGGTGGTAAGAATTTAAATGTGTTACGGCCACGAGTTTCCTCGGTATATTTTCCCGGCTCTGAATTAACGCAAGATATACCAACTTTTTAAGTTTTGAGTTGTGACATTTAATATTTAGGAACTATTTTCTGTTTTTCTATCTAAATTCACTAGAATGTTAAAAATTATTGAAAAAAAAAGAACTGAAGAGGCGCCGTGTTTCCTTGCCAATTTTAAAAGTTCGTTTTCCAAAGCAACAACTTTAATACTTGGGGCAGTAGCAATCTGTATCATATAATTGTTTAAAATGAGTAAACGTGTTGCATAACCCTTAAATCTTATATGATTGGACAAGAATCAAAGAAATCACAGACACTTTGGGTGTGTAGCTCAAAACGCCTTTAAAATCCAAATGAAATGTATATTTGTCAACGTCGTCGGGTGCCACGTTTGAATTTGTCGAAAGATTTTGTAAATGGAGTAAAACGGCGATAATCTCGATGTTTATTTCGGCTGTTGCGTTGTTTATACTGATGTGGAAGTTTAAAATTGACCATCATCATGAAGAATTATATCTTCTGTGTCTGTGGGTCAAAGGATTATGTGAAAAATTTGGAAACGGAATAAAATACATGGTGTTTTTGACGGTAGATGTGCGGATTTTTTCCGGCGAACATTTTTATCTTGTGTATTATTATAGACGTTAAAATATGATTTTTTTTTCAAAACGGCTTATATTAAGTATTCTTATATATATACACATGATCAGTACATGTGCTGGGATTGACAAATATGCATTTCTTTATTTTAAATCGTTTTGAGTTCCACACCCTACACCCCTGTGGCGCAGCGTTTTGTTTATGTAACATTGTAAAATAACCGCCTTGATTCTTCAAATCGCACTTCGCCATGCGTGTATTTTATAAAAAAAAAAATAATTTCTAAGACGCCATAAAAGTGAAATGTATGGAATAAATCTTTACTGCATACCAACATTATGAAAGTCTTTTGCAAAACAAAAACAACAAAAAAATGAAGCGGGCACCTGTTTCATGAAATAAATTTCCGAGTATTTTTCCCTGTACCACGGTCATTTTAAAACAATTTCATGCCTACGTGTGTGTGCGTGTGTGTGTGTTTTTCTTTCTATAATCATCTTCAGAAAGCTTTTTGGAATAAACTAGCAAGAATTATGGACCTGCGTGGATAAGAAAATAATAATAAAAAAATCACATGGAATGTTGTTTCCGCACATACATGTATAATGTCGAGGCACCGCGTTTGACATTTATTCGTTTTATACCGCGTTTGACATTTATTTGTTTTATTATTGATAAAAAATATTTTGAACATTGAAAATATCCTTTAATAGTTAATCAACATTAATATAAATAACAGACTGTCAAATTCCTTAGAATGGCGTCCTCTCGTAGTCGCTAAGGCACTAGGAATCCGTTCGTTGCTTTTTAAACATATAAACCTTGTGTTTCTGCTATTAACATATTCCTATTTTCATCATAATCATGGGGAAAAAATCTAAAGTTACCAATAGGTCCCATGTCCTATATTTACTGGGAAAGCTGAACGAAATAATTTTTTTTATAAACTAGAAATTATTTTGTGAGGAGTCCATTTACAGAGTAGCTTTTCTAAAAAGATAGTGATGATTCTGATATTTCTAAGAACGCTCTGACAATAACGAATAAGTTTTGCATCTATCCCAATAAAATAATATTTTGATCCTTTCATAGTTTTTTAGTTTTTTTTGCATAAATAAATGTCTTAAATATAACATTAAACTTAATATTTTACTTAGAGTGTTTCAGCGTTTCTCAGTAACGCAGTACCGCATACACACCAGTGTAGTTATCAACAGTGTATTTGTCACATGACATTAGCGGCGATGTCTTTTTTTGTTAGTACATGTGTTTACATTTCTATCAAAATCGTTATGCTAGGCATATTTTTACAAATTAAACATGGAATTGATGTAGAAAATGAATAATCTTTAAATGTATCATAACAAATTTATCCAAATATGAATTCTAATATGATTTTAGACGGTTCAAAGCTTGCGCTCAAAATCCCGGCGCAAATTTCACCACAGTAAAGGTACTTTTTATGTTGTACGTAGAGGCGAGATATTGCCCAGACACGAAAATAGCACAATATCTCGTCGCGGAGTACAATTAGTTGGACTAAGTTGACCCGTGCCGAGTTGGTATATGGCTGAGATGACTCGGGGGACCAATTTAGTTTTAGGGCTGAGTTGACCCGGATTCACCTGATCTGCTGATCACTGGTGCTCAGACTCAGAGCTGAGTAGCACTTGTGATGGCATTTGTCTTTTTTATTCTCTGATCATTCAAATGTGTCATTATCCAAAATTCTCTTTAAATTTTTATATTGGCACCTAAACATCATGATCACTCATTCAATCAGATTCTAATCAAACTAAACAGGAAAAGTCTTCAGGTAACCATGTACAAAAGTTGTATTTAGGGTGGTACCAGCCTGGTCCACAAGTATGTCAAAGGAGTTATAAATAAGACATTATAAAAAATTAATTGTCATGTATCATTGTACCTTTCAGGTAGAATGTATTAATCAGAAGAGAATGGTTGCATTTCTCAATCATTTTGTGAGTCACACTGCCGGATTCCTGAACAGGTTCTCATGTGTTTGTGAGGAGAAACTGGAGCATTTGTCACACAGAATGCAACAACTTGAAATCACTATGAGTCTTCTAGAAGCTAAGGTAAATATACTTCTAGAAAACATGGTATCTGACATGGCTTATAAGGAAAGCCTTTATGCATTGTTGCATCTAGAATTTCAAAATTATGGGGGATTGTCCCCCACTCAACTGAAAAATGTGGGGGATTTGAAAAAAATGTGGGGGACATACATTTTTTTTACAATATGACCTACCGAAAAGAATAATTTATTTTACACATGTACGTTTAAGCATTTTTGACAGCTATCGTAGAAGACCTCTTTTGATTTTGGGGTCACAAGGTCAAAGGTCAAGGTCACATTACCTTAATACTGAAAACAGTTTCCTGAGCATAACTTAAGTTCCATTTGGCCAACAATATTCAAACTTCATAGGATTATTGTCCATATTGGGTAGAAGACCCCTATTGATTTTGGTCAAAAGGTCAAAGGTCAAGGTCACTATTACCTTAAAACTGAAAACAGTTTCCGGAGCATAACTTAAGTTCCATTTGGCCCACAATATTTAAACTTCATAGGATTATTGCCCATATTGGGTAGAAGACCCCTATTGATTTTGGAGTCACTAGGTCAAAGGTCAAGGTCACAATTACCTCAAAACCAAAAAGAGTTTTCGGAGCATAAGTTATGTTCCATTTGGCCCACTATATTCAAACTTCATAGGATGAGTGTCCATATTAGGTTGAAGACCCCTATTAATTTTGGGATCAAAAGGTCAAAGTCACTAACCTTTATACGGAAAACAGTTTCTAGAGCATAACTTAAGTTCCATTTGACCCACAATATTTAAACTTCATAGGATGATTCTGCATTGGGGTCACAAGGTCAAAGGTCAAGATCACTATTACCTTAAAACTGAAAACAGTCTCCAGAAGCAGAACTAAAGTTCCATTTGGCCCACAATATTCAAACTTCTTAGGATGATTGTCCATATTGGATAGAAGACCCTCATTGATTTTTAATAGTTTCCACTCAATAACTTAAGTGTTAATCAACCTACAGATGTAAAATTTTATAGGATGAACAGCTAATTCCCATGTCTTACAAATGCTTCATCCTTACTAAAATAAAACACTTCCGGGCATATAATGCTCCGCCTAGCGGTGCTCTTGTGTTAATTTTGCCCTCCTTTTTGACTGTACAATGTAGGTTAAATGTCCACTACACAATGATACTGAATATGTAAAACAACTTAACAAAAATGTATTGAGCCAGATATTTTAAACGTGGTAGAATAATTTCCATTCCTTGAAAAAATTCATTATTGTGTTTGTTTGTAGAAGTTGAAATTTGTAGAAGTTGAAAATAAAAAATCAAGTGATTTGAAACATGAAAAAACTATCATGCTCAATTACTACTCATACCCTTTACATTTAAAGAATGATTACTTTCGATAAGTTGGAAAAATAATCTTTAAGGTCAGTAGGAAAAGGTTAAGGTCACTATCTCACCTTGATGTAAAATTTTTTAACAGAATTTAAGATGGAGCAAATATATGATGTGTACTTATTAGACTTTCTAAAAAATTTTTATAATTATTAACATGACTGTGAATAGAATATTGATCATTGTCAGTTTGTTTTATTATGTAAGTTTTAATATACAAGTGTGGTTTTTAAATGTATTTATATAAACATTTAGTTTTAGACAAGCAGCTCATTTGTAAATGGTGATCATGTTTTGTTTTGGATTATCAATTTTTAGATTTCATCTATACCTGGATTAGAAAACGTTACAGCAGCTAGTAGCTCCACCAGCGGACCCACACCAACTACCTCTGATGGCGCAGGAGCCACAGCACCTCCTCCAGCCCCCTCTGTCCCAACCAGCGCCGAGCCACCCGCTGAACAGGTAAAGGTCTAGAACAAAATACTTTGGCCATAATATAGTATAAAGCTGCTTTGATTTCATGTATAAATTTTGATTGTAATCAAAGAATGGAATTGTGCAGAATAATTTCTTTGTTATACAAACTTTTAACAGGTTATATGGCATTTCTTGGTTATATGACCATCAAGTAGCAGCTCAGACTGTAGAAACTAACAATGGTTTAAATTTGACCATATAACCTGTCAAAATCTATATAACTGGTAATGTACAAAGAATTGTACAGAAAAAAGGTATCTTAAAATACTATTAATGTAGATGGACTGTTGCATTCAGCATGATTAAGTTGTTATAGGAACATGGCCAACTGGCTGATGATTAAGAAAGCACTTAGTTGGATCTTTATTTATTACCTTGTACCACATGTATAAACTTGTAAACTATCTCAAGACATAGACCAGTGTTTGACACTTTTTTCTTTATACTGGTATTCTCTTGGCTGAATTTGTCCTGAATTTTCGTCACTCATGCTCAGATTCAGAAGAATTGTATAGGAAAAGTTGTAACTTACTTGTTGAAACCAGAATTACAATAAATGGAGCTGGGTTGTGAATCCAAGGCAGTGATTAAATTAATCATAGATAACATGGATGTGGATGAAATTCGGTTCTAAAGTTAAGAAAATGCACTGTTTGCTAAATCTTCTTGTAAAAACATATGAGCCGCGTCATGACAAAACCAACATATTGGGTTTACGACCAGCATGGATCAAGACCAGCCTGCGCATCCGCGCAGTCTGATCAGGATTCATGCTGGTCGCTAACAAACCCTATTACAAGTAGAGAAACTGATAGCAAACAGCATGGATCCTGATCAGACTGAGCGGATGGACAGGCTGGTCTGGATCCATGCTGGTCGCAAACCCATTATGTTGGTTTTGTCATGGCGCGGCTCATATGAACATAAAACATATGTTGGAGAGAGTTTTTTTTGGAGAGAGTTTTTTTCCTGACTTCTGATAATTAAAAATAAAGTAACAAAAAAAACCTATACATATTCGATTTTGTTAGCAGTAATATGATAGTAAAAATGTTCATTGACATGCAGATTTTATTACATTTCAGCCTACGGGGGATAATGCCCCTCCGCCCCCACAACCTGAGCCCGTAGCCAGCAATCCTGTATCACAAGATCCAAGATTTGTTAAATATTTCAAAATGGTGAAAATGGTATGTAAAATTGTTACTTTAATGTCTGAGACCTAGTAATTTTAGAGTAGTGTAAGTTTAATCTAAAATCAGTAAAAATAAACCAGTAAAAAGTAAGTCGAAAATATAAAGTTATGCTAGTCTCCCTTGTTATGATATGTAACATAAATTTAATTCACTAGAGCAAGGAGGGTATTGAATACATTACAAAAACAATAAAAAAATTGGAAATTGAACAAATAGTTTGATTTTAATTATTAAGTTTATTACTAAGCATTGTTAGCTTGACTGTACAAAGTATGAGTGCTGTCTTACTCACCCCTATGTCGGAGTCTGCATTAGATTTCTGATTAAATTTTTTGTGCAGTTAAAAAATATTTTTATACTGTAACTTCTTAATTTCTTAAGGGATTAAATTTAAACTTCATATACTGTTTCTTTTATCTACATTATATGTGTTAAGTTTCATAACTCTAGCACCAATATTTTTGGGATTACCTCCCCATGAATTTAGAATTTTTGTTAAAAATTGCTGTTTTTCTGTTTCATTATTACTTCTTTATTTGTTCAGGGATTAACTTCAAACTTCAACTATAAGTTCCTTATCATCACTCATGTCATATGTGATAAGTTTTAATACTCTTCCAGAATTATCACCCTCTTGAACTTAATTTTTGTCTTAAAAAATGTTCTTTTGCCATGTAACTTCTTTATTTCTTGAGGTATTAACTTTAAAACCTATTTTCAGGACCTGTTTCTTAAACTTTATGTTTTTGCAACTGTAATAAGTTTACATTTCCATTGTACTATTTTAATCAAATGTTGGTACTCTGAACTGATACAAACCTTATAACATACAATATTTGGTGTAATGATTTACATTTGTTATATAGGGAGTTCCCGAGTCTGCTGTAAAAATGAAGATGTCAGCAGAAGGGTTGAACCCTGACCTACTAGAGTAAGTAATCTATATAGATATGTTGTGTTACCTTAGTGCAATAATGAGTTAACTCCTATTAAATTATATAAGGAGTGAAGTTAACCCATTACAGCATTAAGGTGACAATATATAAGTTGTAAAATTATCTATATTATATGTTTGTATAAAACTATAGTTTGTAAAATGCTTAAATTCCTTGATGCAACTTTGGAAGCAGGGATGGGTAAGGTAAGGGGTGGGGTGGGGTGAAGGGGTTTGACACTGGAACTAATTTGGCTTAAATTGCTTTAAAGCAATCCAAAAAGCAACTTCTTTAAGCATTGTTGATTCAACCTTTTAATTTCTGCAAGAAGTTTATTTCTGCTGTTTGTGGAAGACAATGAAACTACAGATTTAAAACCTGCAGAAATTTATTCTGTTATATCTGTATTTGTTAAATTTTGGCTATGCATTTGAATGTTACATTGTTATATCATATATATTGTTGATGATTGTTATATGATACAGATTATATCTTATTTCTTATTTCAGTGATCCGGATGCCCCTGCCCCAGCTGGTGGAGCAGATAATAATGATGATGATGATGACTTTAGTGATAGTAGTGACAACCAATCAGATGACAGTGATGATTTTGATTGACAGGCTTGATTCTATATTTAGGAACAAATTGAAATATGATATATATATATATATATATATATTATATATATATATATATATATATATATATATATATATATATATATATATATATATATATATATATATATATATATATATATATATATATATATATATATATATATATATATATATATATAAATAGTAGCAAATTGAATATGATTTGTTTATACAAAAATTTTTAGTTTGTAAATAGCAACAAATTAAACTGTTTCTACATGAAATTCATTATATATATAAAATTAGTTACAAACATATTGAGATGATTAACTCTCTCAGATGATACTGTTGTATTGGTTGATTTACAAAAAAAATTACCATTGTTATAGTTATTTATTTTGATATATGTTTATTTAGGAAAAAAAAACACTAATTAAACGCTCCCTCATCCTCTCTCCCTGATTCATTTGAACTTAACCCTGTTGTAGACAACCTTAATTGGTAGCCATATCATTTTTAAAATAAAAGCATTATTTTTGTTTGCAACATATTTCTTTACAAGTGGTACTACATGTACAGTAATATGTGACCTTCATTCTTAAAGGGCATTGATCTCTTTTGTCAGATTCTCAGAATTTGAAAATTTCATTATAATTGTTAATTTTAAAGGTTATAAAGCTATATCTTATGAAATATTTTTATAAATTTATCAAGAGTAAAATTTTATTACTTCAGTATCATATGGTCAAATCTTGAAAAGAGTTGTAAGATAGAATGTCTCTGTTATTTTATAGATCTACACGCAAACAGAAAAAAATGTTTGGCAACAAAATATTATTCTGCTATTTAAAGTAGGGTTTTATCTGTTTAGCAAGTGCCTAATTGCATTAAAGGCAATTTACTACCATGTTTATTTTATACAGGCATTTTGGAAGTATTCAATTTTAAAATTCAAACAATTATTTTCGAAGTAGATATATAGCTTTATACACTTTAAAGTTTAAATATCAGATTGTTTTACTTAAGTAATGAAACTTGTTTCAGAAGGAATATATCATTTTGTAAATTTTGTAATTTATTATGAGAAATGTATGTAAAAACCAAACTTGATTGATTTAATTCTTCAAGTTGAGTGTACATGATTAAATACAGTAAACGTTGCCATGGTGTGTTTACCCAAGTGATAAAGCAAAGTATGAAGTGCTTATCAGTTTATAAGTGTGTTGTAAATATTCATATTGACAAGAGGGACCAGTGCAATACGATAGACTAGTTATTGATCAATATTCATTTATTTTCTTATTAAGATTTCCATTCATTTTTTAAACACAATTTGATGAGAAAGATTGTGTGACAACAATTATACGATCGTATGATATCTAATTGCTCTTGTTGATTGATAAATCTATTTCTGAAAGGCACGTTAACAGAACAGAAATGTGTATTTTTATCTTAAATTGCCAATATGTGTTTTATACTATATTAATAATAGCTTTAAAGCATGTCCTGAAGAAAAAGGTGCTGAATGTGATATAATTTGTCATAAAAGTAGGAAAATGTAAACAAAGTGGTATTTTGACTGCCATTGAAAATACTTAATCACTATAATTGTACTAATTGCCAAAATCCTCATGAAGTAAAATATGGTTCAGTTATATTGCAAATAAAAAAAAATTTTGACACGAAGAATTAAACATTTTTGAAAAATAAAATTGTGTTGGTTAAATGAGCCTTTAACATTATCATGATCATAAAAAAAGTTATTGGAATGTTATTGATTGATAAGGTACTTAAAATCATAAGTATATTTGTTTTACCAATGGGATGTCTGTTTTATAAAACAAATATTAGGTATTAATAAATATTCATACTGTATTACGTAAATATTTCAAAATGTACTTTTATTAAAACGTTTAAGTTTCGGGTAGGAGAAATTCTTACATATTTGAAAAAAGTAACAATTTTTAATCATAAAATCACGAATATTGTTTTTGACTGTCTTGATATTTGAAATTATAAATAAATTGATATGAATTAATACATATTTAATGCTTTTTAGCTCGACTTTTGTATGAAAAGGGGAGCTATCCTACTCGCCCCGGCGTCGGCGTCGGCGTCGGCGTCGGCGTCACACCTTGGTTAAGTTTTTCGTACCACCCCACTTTATTTCAGAAGTATTACAAGTATGGCTTTGAAACTTACCATACTTGTTCACCATCATAACCTCCATCTACAGACAAGAGTACATAACTCTGTCAAGGTTTTTGACAGAATTATGGCCCTTTTTTGACTTAGAAAGTGTATTGAGCTTGGTTAAGTTTTTTGTACCACCTCACTTTATTTCAAAACCATTGGAGGTATTGCTTTGAAACTGACCATACTTGTTTACCATCACGACCTTCATCAACAGACAAGAGGACATAACTCTGTCAAGGTTTTTGACAGAATTATGCCCCTTTTTGACTTAGAAAATACATTGAATATGGGTAAATCCACTTATTGCCTTAACCCTTTGAGATATTGCTTTGAAACTTTTAATGCTATTTCACATCATTTACCCCCATCTGTACGCAAGAGAAGGTAACTCTGTCAAGGATTTGTTTTAAAAATTAAGGCCTTTTATCGACTTAGAATCTTGGTTAAGTTTTTAGTACCAGTCCACTTTTTGACTGAACTGTTTGAGATATTAATTTGAAAGTTGGAATACTTGTTTACAATCATGATTCCCAAACATGTCCAGGAGAAGGTAATTCTGTCAAAGATTTTATTTGAATTATGGCCCTTAACTGTCAATGTTTTGTATTATAGGCAAGCACTAAAAAACTTAAAAAATCTAAAAAAATTCATTCCTATCCACTTGTTCACTTTACCATAAATTATGTCATATAAACATTGCTGTAATATTCAAGGGTATCAAACAACTAGTTCACTTTAAAAATACAGAGATTCTTGTATTGCCTTTTACTGCAAAAACTTTTTTTATTGGCAAGCAATAAAAAAGTCGAGCGCGCTGTCTTACGGACAGCTCTTGTTTTCTCTTTGATCTGCTGTTAGTCATCTACAGTTGTGTCATATACCTTATTATATGCCCTTCCGAGTTGACTGGAGTTGCCCAACACAGTTGTCAGTATGAGGGGCATATTTTAATTAGTGGCAACAACTCAATTTAACCATGATTTGCACGTGAAAGTGCATGTATAATATACCATTGGAAAGGTTATTGATTTTTCTAACCAAAAGTCTATCTTCGCACGATTTGCACGTGCAATGGAATTTTAGCAGGACATTTAAATACATGTGGTCATATATATATATATACTGGTTGTAAACATGGCTGAGCTGCATTGTGATTTGAGAGGCGAGCAAAGGGCTTATTGCAAATTTAGCGCGTCAGAAATAAAATCGGATCTAGATTTAGTTCATGGAGAAAATTCCCTTCCATGTCGTTCAATTGCTAGGTGGTTGTCAATGTTTAAGGAAGGTAGAACTAATATTAAGAAGGGTACCCGCCCTAGGCGGCCAATTTCCGCTACCTCTGAAAAAGCATTGTCAAAGTCATGGTTGATGAAGATGCAACATATACCGTGGAGGAGATAAGTGACATATCGGACCTTAGTGCGTCGTATGTGTTTTTATCTTGAAAGAAAAGTTAAAAGTTAAGGTAAGTGCTCCGATTTGCTAACTTCAGACCAGAAAAAGGACCGGGTTTTAAAAAACCTCGGCCTGTCAAAGGGGATGGAACGTGGCTTTATTTTTTTATGAACCCGACAAACTAAGTAACAAAATGTGGGAACGTGAAAACAGCGATCGCTCAATTGTTGCTCGACGTAGCAAAAGCGTTAAAATAGTTGTGTACGCTCTATTTTTTTTTACTGTAATGGAATTGTGGCCCGTGTTGCTATGCCTGAGAGGGGTAGTGACTGTAGTTTTGCAAAGCAGAGTTGAAAGTAGCTCTGCCCAGAAAGGTTGAAAGTAATTTTGCCCTACAGAGTTGACAGCAGTTTTGCCCACCAGAGTTGACAGAAGTTTTACCCAGCAAAATTGAAAAAAGTATTGCCCAGCAGAGTTTAAAGTAGTTTTGGCCAGCAGAGTTGACAGAAGTTTTGCCCCGCAGAGTTGACAGTAGTTTTGCCCCGCAGAGTTGACTATACTTTTGCCCAGCAGAGTTGAAAGTAGTTTTGCCCAGCATAGTTGACAGAAGTTTTGCCCAGCAAAGTTGATAGGAGTGTTGCCCAGCAGAGTTGACAGAAGTTTTACTCAGCAGAATTGAAAGTAGTTTTGCCCAGCATAGTTAAAAGTAATTTTGCCCCGCAGAACTGACAGAAGTTTTGCCCAGCAGAGCTAATTATAGATTATCCCGCACAGTTGACAGTAGTTTTGCCTAGCAGAGTTGGCAGAAGTATTACCCAGTAGAATTGAAAGTAGTTTTGCCCCGCGGGGTTGACAGAAGTTTTGCCAAGCAAAGTTGAATGTAGTTTTGCCCAGCAGAATTGAAAGTAGTTTTACCCAGCAGAATTGAGAGAAGTTTTACCCAGCAGAGTTGAAAGTAATTTTGCCCAACAGAGTTGACAGCAGTTTTGCCTAGCAGAGCAAACAAAAGTTTTTTCCCGCAGAGTTGACAGAAGTTTTGCTCAGTAGAGTTGAAAGTAGTTTTGCCCAGCAGAGTTGACAGACGTTTTACCCAACAGAATTGAATGTATTTTTGCAAAGCAGAGGTGAAAGTATTTTTGCTCAGCAGAGTTGAAAGTAGTTTTGCCCGCAGAATTGACAGGAGTTTTGCCCAGGAGAGTTGAAAGTAGTTTTTCCTCGCAGAGTTGAAAGTAGTTTTGCCCCGCAGAGTTGACAGAAGTTTTTCCCAGCAGAGTTGAAAAAAGTATTGCCCAGCAGAGTTGAAAGTAGTTTTGCCCAGCAGAGTTCACAAAAGTTTTGCCCAGTAGAATTGAAAGTAGTTTTGCCCAGCAGAATTAAAAGTAGTTTTGCCCAGCATAGTTAAAAGTAATTTTGCCCCGCAGAGTTGACAGAAGTTTTGCCCAGCACAGTTGACAGTAGTTTTGCCTAGCAGA